GTCGGGTTTGAACGGCTCGACAGGATTTCAGGGTTTTTGTTGGATGAATAACAGCTCAAAATAGAGTTCTAGGGATCTTGGGAGTGGCTTAATGATAGTAAATATGAAGTAATATAGCGATACCTTTCCAAGAACGTGATAAACATATCGGTCGAGGATCGGGAGTTGACAGGCGGCGCATGAGGACAACTCCATCCCACTACCCGAGCCAAGCTGGCTAGAGGGGCGTCATTTAGAAAACGTAAAGGTAAAAAATAGACGAAAAATACAAATAACAATGCTAAGATGGTATAAAATTTTTATTTCTACGTCTCCTCCGAAAAAATCGCACTTCTCTCACGTTTTCCACTACAAAAAAATACTCTAACTTCCAAAAAATTTGTTAAAATACTGTAGAACACCCACGAAATAATGGCTAGTATTATACAAACACAAATTTAAATGATAGAAATACTACAAAAGAATAGAAAACTAAAATTCTGACAGCTACGTTAAAATTCATTAAAATGTGAAATTTTGTAATTATTGTGGCTACACACAGAACATTTTGAGATGCAGAATTCGCTAGAATACTGTAGAACTCGCAGAAAATAGCATCTGCTATTGGCCACTGGTGGAAAATAAACGATGGAAATACAGAAAAACCAAAAAATAAGAATTCCGTGCGATTTTCATTACAAAAAGATCTTTTAACTTTTCAAATTAGCTAAATTACTGTAGCACTTCCACCTAATAGCAATTGGTATTAAAAATGGAAAGATTTAGAAATCAAGCAAAAGAAAAACTGTTTTTAAAACCATAAACTGTAAAATTCAAGTTTCAAGCGTCTTTCGCTGTAAAACGGCTCGGAAATTCGGTAAACTACTGTAGAGCATCCATAAAATCGTATCTACCACCCCGTAGCAGACAGCCGGCATCTGTTTGTGTATATTTGAGGGGAAGGGGTGTATGCGAGCGGAGCGAGGGGGGGGTGGGTACAGTACTCTCACGTAGCCACGCCCCCTGCGCCAATCCCCAAGGGGGTCTCCCCTTCCCTCTAAATAATCCCTTTTCTGGGCCCTTTCTGGGCCACCCACCTGGCCTTCGTCTCGTGGGGGGCTGTACGAGAAGCACCCCTGCACGGCCGTGGTTTGGTTATATCATGGTGTAATTGAATAGACTACTTCGACGAAAACATTTTGTAAAAGCAAAATTGCCTGTGTATTCCCTATAGTATTTTCCCGAACCGAGACACGCAACGCGCACACCCCGGGTTGCTAAGATCTCAACCGGCTACGCAAGGTAAATACGCGCGTTGCGGGTCGCGTGCTGCGCCGCGGCAAAATCACAAAAAACCATAAGGTTTTCTTCCCGGTCCCTTTAATTGGCTTCTTAGAAATTATAAAATACAGCGCTATTCGTATGATTGTAATAATACAAATAATTAGACAGAATTTTAACTAGAAGCTACGTGGTTTTACGTAAATTTACTAATTACAATGGATTTTTAGACTCATTAGGCCTTAATTTAAATTATTAGTAACAGTTTATTCAGAAATAGACACTTACGCATTTTCTACTAACTTTCATTATTCCGAAAAACCTTTGAATCCCTTTCCGGGTCCCAACCATGCCTGATCCCCGTGGCGAAGTGGTTAGCACGCCAGCCTCCAAAGCAAAGGGCCAAGGGTTCGAACCCCGGCGGCGGCAACTTGTTGGCTTTTTGGTTTTTGGCATAGTTTCCAGTTTGGTAGGGCTGAAAAAAACGCTAGAACACACACCTGCAATTCCGGGGGCCTGTGGGGTGGTTTTTTAGGCCGTTTACCTCGGGGGGTTTTTACCTTTTTTTGCGGGGGATTCCAACTGTGGCGGCGGGGCTTTGCCTTGCTTCCCTTTCCCTCCCATTCAATGATATGTCAATGGTATTGGGGCGGAAAATACGGGGGAGTGGCCATAGGAAGGTACCGGAATTTTTGGTTGAAATTGGCAGGAAAATGTCATGTCTTGAGGGTTTTTGCCACTGGTGCGGTCCTTTAAATCGCTATAGTATACCGTAAAAATTATACTATTTAATAGAAAGGTAAATAGATAAGTAACGAAAGAGAGGAATTTTGGCTGAAATTGGCAAGAAAATTTTTGCGGTTTTTAATAGATTACAGTGCGTAATATATTTTAAAACATTCTGATTAAATTCTAGTGCAAGATATTATATATTTATGGCGATTTTTAATTGATTTAAGGTATCGTACCAGATTTTTTTGGCTGAATTCGCAAGAAAATATCATTTTAACGATTTTTAAGCGATTTAAAGTCTCGCATTATACTTAAAAATACAAATACAAAAATTTCACTAACATTCTACCTTCTTATATCAAGGTATCTGGAGAGCTCGAGGCGAGGAAGTGGATTAGACTCGGGCGCAAAAGTCGTTAGCCCGCCTGGGGGGCGGCAATGGTATTGTCGCGGAATGGGGTGTAACTGCCAGCCAATTCCACCAAAATGGGGGCTACCTGGAAATGGGAAACATACAAAAAGAGTTTTCGCTATAAAATTGAAATTACGGGCACAGAGCAGACGAGCAGAGGTTATTTGGGAAATTACAGAGTGGTGATCATTTATTCCGTATTTTCCGGAAGAATTCTGCTGGTTTTCCCTGATCCGGTCGGGTCCAGGCACGCCTGATAATTCAAACCTTTTTTGTAGCAGAGATACAGATACCTTTCGCATTAACGGGGGGGGGTGGCTAGCTAGCAGTGACCATTTAGGAAACCTTTGTTGTTTCCTGTGGTTTCTGGCTGTCCGCCTAGGGCGAACAAACAAAGATTCTTTAGGAAAATGGAGGTATAGGACGAGCTAGCAGAGGCAGGCTAGCAGAGACCAATTAGGAATTCGTTCGGCAGCAGGACAAACTATCAGAGAATTTTTCTGAAACCCTGCAAGTCGGAGCAGGCTAGCAGAGACGATTTAGGAATGGTTGGATAGCAGAGACAAATTTGCGGCATTTGTTCTTATTTTCGGACCGGAGGTGGAGCAATTCTGGTCAAAGAAGACAATCTAGGCAACTAGCAGGGACCATTAAGGAATAACAAACGAGCAAAAAGCAAGAAGCAGATTCTTGACGGTTTTAGGAAGCAGAAAATCGCTCGCTTCAACGCCCCTTTAAAATCACAAAGCCCCGGATCAGCCCGGCGCCTAAAAAGGTGTGTGAAGAAGATGGATATTTGGGGGGAATGGGGGGCCGGGTGGATGGGTGAGTCTTCCTGATTTATCGTCTTCTGTCTATTGGCGGTGGCGACGATTTGCATGCCATTCTGCCAATTCTCCCGCGAAAAGGGATGGCCTAGAGGGGGCCAATGCAAGATTGCGCCTATTTACCTTTAAGGAAGGCTTTAGTACGCTTTATATCGTTGTTTTCGCGGCGGAAAATGGGATACGGTAGTTTTTCTCTCACTCATGCTCACTCATGCTTTCCTTCTCGCTCTGTCTCTCGACATGTCTCTCGCGTTCTCATCCTATCTCTCTCTCTCTCTCTCTCTCTCTCTCTCTCTCTCTCCTCTCTCTTGTCTCTCCGCCGGACTCTCGTGCTCTCTCTGGCTGTCCCCCGTGCTCTCTCTGGCTCTGTCTCCTCTCTCTCTGTCTCTGTCCTAGTCTCTCTGTGCCCGTCCCTCTCTCCCTGTCTCTCGTTCTCTCTCGCAATGCAACAATTCCAAGAGTTCGCCCTCCCTCAACTCGACCTCGAGGTGCTTTTTGTTTTGGATCAAAGCCACCCGTCCAATCTATCTACCGAGAAAGAGAGAGAGAGGGAGAGAGCGTGAGAGAGTGAGAGAACTGTCATCTGAAAAAGTGAGTGATCGTCGCGGGAACCACTGAAAAGACGCGCCCTAGTTTGCATAAAGGGTACAACACCATATCCCGGGCTCTGAAAGGCCGGAAAACCAGTGGCAAAGTTCCAGAAGATTACGTTTCAAGCGTAGAACAAAGTGCCAAAGTACAGTGCACTAGCGTAATTTGGCCTCAGTCGTACTACGCGGCATGCCTCTTTCCAACAGTGATTCTTATTCATTTTATTCGACAATTTTACCGCGATTACTATTGTCGTATTATCCTTATTACAGTACCCTCATCCACAATGGGTCCCGCCGCGATGAGTCGATCTATGGAGACAATATGAGGAAGAGAAGTCCCGTCGAGACTCGTCCTCTATGATTCACCCCAACCCTTACCTCCACCAACCCTCTTTTTTTGGCTTTTTTGCCCTCATGCTCAGTAATGAGCCCCGGCAATCGACCCTTTTGATGAGGTCCGCTAGGGTATGCTTTGGGTTCTAAAGGGACAAGCAAAGCTTGCGCGCTGCGTGTCGCGGCCCAAAACCTAATCCATAGCCTTTCTTGCCTTTCCCGCTCCTTTAAAGGGACAGTGAAGACATCTAGGAAGACAGATCGCCACTTCAATCCCCGCCCACCAATCCATTTCATAGTTTTTGCCCATCAGAAGAAGGGGACACTCCCTGGTCGTTGAAAAGACGAACCTGTCCTCCTTCCCCTCGTTTCCCTCCTTTCTTTTCTTCTTCTTCCTCCTTCCCTTCGATCGATAATTTCCAATTTGACTCGTCATTTCGCCGTGCCCTCCTTCACCACATCACAAAAAAAGGGAGAGGACGGACCGGTGGGGAGGGGAGGGGGGGTACGGTAGAATCAACAAAGAGTTGAAGGACGAGACCACCGAAAAGCCGAAAAAAAAAGACAAAATTTACAGTATTTTACAACTCTTTCTAGTAAGGCAAGCTAGCAGAAACCCTTCAGGAAATTAGCTGGAACCTAAGGTATTGGAGTGTTAGGTATTATGCCGACACGCGCTAAACCCGACAGATAAAATTTTGTCGGGATTTTGGTTTCAGAGAATTTCGGTTGTCGGCATTTTGGTTGTCGGGAAGTCTGCATGTTTCATATATTTGTTATGTGATTCCCTGAAATGATACGATTTATTGAAAGCAGTACGGCAGCATCCAGTTGACAATGTCATTTGTCGAAATCGAGCGACGGACTCTCGTCCATATCACGCAACCCTTCAAGTTGGTTGAGATCAAGCCCTCCGCCACGTTCCACCACACACCCCCCAAGGGTGTCCATAGAAGCGCTGCGTGGCGGGCCGCCCTGGAAAGTATATTACTTGGATATAATAATAAAAAGCTATAAAACATTAATAAACATAATAATTATTGTAATAATAATCATATAAAATATTATAAACAAACCTTATCAGGAGATAGACCCCCAAAATCGTGATGACTCACGGAAAGCATCGGTCTTCGGGCATCGCTACCGAATTGGCCAACTGGTTCTCTAAAACGAGTAGTATAAAAATATAGAAAAATACTTCAACATTAACTATAAAACTGCATATCAAATAACCACCATAAAATTACTTACCGATAGCTGACCGTCTTCTTCTTATGCCAAAGGAAAAGCGGGCGACCCTTGAAAAAGCCCTTCTTCTTCTGGATTCCCTGAAACGCGATTTTTGCCATTTCACTTTCCACTTTTTTAATTACCTTAGGTGAGGTGGCTTCGATCGGATTTTGTTGACTATGACCTAAAAAAATTCATGATTTTTAGTTCATAACTTTGAAATAAAGGACAATTTTTATGTTTGTTTATCTCAAAGCCTTCTCATTTCTCGTTCTTTCCGGTTTGTTTTTTGGCCTACCAGGCAACGATGAAGCGACAGAAGTATCAAATGAAGCCGATTCGTGCACCGGCATCATTTCGTCCATCACCGTACTCGTCGCCTCTGTCGAATCGATCCAATGTGATGGGCTAGAGGCCGTTTGGCGGAACGAGGAGCGCTGAGAATCCCTGAAAATTCTCTGGGTTTTAGCGTATTTGGGGAGCGCGAGCTTTTCTCGAGGAAAAGTCAAAATGCCGACAGCGAAAATCCCGACATGCAAACTAGCTGTTTAAAAGGAAGTGGCTTCAAACTAGCGTCAAGAATATGTCGGGATTTTGGCTGTCGGCATTTTAACTGTCGGGTTTTGTTCGGTCGATATTTTTGATGTCGGGATTTTGGCTGTCGGTATTATAATTGTCGCGATTTTGGCCACAATCCATTTTCCCAATTTTACCTCGAAATCTGCGATGCTCGTGAGAATCGTCTAGAAGAGTGTAGCGACCAGGAGCCGGTAAATGGCGAAGCCGAATGGCTTAATGGAGCCGTTTGAAGGGCACGATCTAAAATTAGATGATTGACCGAGCGATCATAGCATCAAAAAACAAAAGATGTTTGATTTCTTCAACTTTCCACGACAAGAAGAAGTGCTAGCTCGTTAGCGGGGGGGAGACAGAACTAACTTTTCCTATTTTCGGGTAAGCCCCCGATACAAAATTTATTGAATACCATTTAGTTCAAAGTTATCAATTTACCCGCACCCCCGCTAACGCACCAGCACCGTAAGAAGAAGCCCTTAACCTACCTGAATCCGAAAATGTATTCGGAGGAGAAAGGCGGCTGATTTGTCTAGATGAAGGTTCGGTAATAGAACTCGTTGACAGCACCTCATCCTCAAAACGGACCACGCTCTTCTTTTTCTAAATCCAGAATCGGTTAAATTTCCAAACCAACGGGACTGGCCTAGTAGCGGGGGGGATAGAAGGGATAAAAACCTCATAAAGAATTATAAACATTTCGAAAACTGTAACTTTTTGGTCAAAAAATGTATGAAAAATGGGCAAAAAGCCAATTTTTTTTCTATGTTATATAACATTCTAGCAATCAAAAATTACTAAAAATACTATAAATAATATAACGGGCGGCATAAGAAAAGATTTAGTTGTTCCCCCCTGCTAATAGCCCAGTACCAAATCAAGTACCTTAGCATATCTGTAATCGTATTCATATTCATTTTCATCGACAAACGTCGGGAAATGGCCCTCTTTGATGAAAAGAGGAACCAGCGCCGGTGGCCAGATACCTAAAAAAGTATTTTTATTAGTTCGTTCTCCCTTTGAAAAATACCCTCCACAATCATATGTGTTTGTGGTACGCGTGACAATCGACCCTCTTTCACTTGAATAGCCAACTAAAAAAAGAAAGGAAACTAAATTTATGTAGAAAACCAACCTTCACCAAATTTTCCAAATCCAATTCGGTGAGTATCGATTCTTCGATGCCGATATTCGCCCCAACAGCCGACACAAATTCCGAAATTCGGAGGCTAAAACGGTCATATTATTTTGTTGCTATTTATTACTGCTTTTTTAGTGCGCTTCAGTACAAAATACAACTGCGAACACAACGGAGCTTAATGGAATTCGGTTCATTGGCATTATGGGGGGGCCAATTTTTCTCGATCCAATTTTTCAAAGGGATACCGGACGGCATGTGTCGATCCCCCTCATCAACAAATTGGCAAGTAGCCAACAGGGGAGAGAACGCGCCTAGGGGAGAGGCGCAGAGGCACAGCATTCCGCCCTTTACCAGTTGTGTTCGTTTGACCGGGACAGGATGGCAGGCATACAGGGGAGGGGAGAATCTGCGCTCTGGCCCCCCCCCCTGTTCTCTTCCCCGTGGCCTATAGCCTAGTCTCACTCTTTCGCCGCCATTCCGCGCCCCACCCTCCCCTGTGTGTTCTGCGCCCCGCCGTCTGGCGCACTATCCGCCAGCCTACTCACGAACACCGCGGAATCATGTGAGAGGCATTTTCTTTTCCGCGCGTAACCGATTGACTATGCCGTCGGCATCCCTTTAAATAGCGGAAATTGCCTCTAAACTATTTTTTTACTATTCCCAAGCGTAAAAAATTCAAAAATGTTTATTAAAAATCGCAAAAAATATAGATTTTTCGACCAAAATTCGACCCTTTCGAAATTTTTGAGGGTTTTTCTACTTGAAATTTCGTGAAATTTTACTAAAAACACTATTAAAATACTTACTATTATGTTACTACATTTTTGGACACAGGGAAAAATCCCCCCCGATAATGCGAAAGAACCAAAAAAACCAATAAAACCAATTGCACCCACTCTTTAGCGCCGAACCAGATCCGAATGCTCGCAATGTTCTTCAATTTACGCCCAATATAATGCAACTTTCGGACGTACATCGAGCCGATATCTGGAAAATGTTTTAAAAATCGTTTTTGTTTCCGTTCCATCGTTTTTCTTATTAAAAACTCACCGAGAGCTATCGTAGAAATTGCAAGACCAATTGAAACATAGACGAGAACTATCGGGACGTAATAATTGCTAAATATTAATGTTTATAAACGATACTCCTTGGAAAGTAGCGTACTTTCGAGGCACTAGATCCCCATATTCAATAGCCGTCAAGCAAATAAACGCAAAATAGATGCCATTGAAGAAGTCGAATTTCCCATTTAACAACGGGATTAACAGGGCGCCGACCGTCTCAAATTGTTTTTTTAGGCAATAACTACCTAAAATACATACCAAATAAATGACGACTATCACAAAGAGGGTTGAGGTAGTTATCGTGTCGTTACTTTCGTCTTTTGACTAAAAGAGATTTTATCTTATAATGTGCTTTCGCATTAACGGGGGGTGGGGAGGGGGAACTACAAACATAAAAAAAAAATTTAAAGAAGGCGAAAAACGTATCTAGTTTTTAAAATTTTTTAGGTAATTTTCACTTGCGATAAAGTTATTTTACTAAAAATACGTTACTAGGCATTCCGGCCTTTTAGGAAAAGGTTAGCCCCCCCCGATAATGCGAAAGAACCAGTTTTCAAGATAGAAACCGACCCTTGTGCACATATTGCGAATCTTCATCGCCAACGACTCCAAATATCGCCCGATATTCGTCAGCAATATAACCGTAATCGGTATTCCGAGAAATCCATAGATTACGGCAAATATCCGCCCGTTCGTCGTTCGTGGCTCGATTTTTCCGTATCCTAAAAGCACGTTAAAAATGTTGCAAATATTTTGCAATTTTAGTATTAGAAATTCGAGCACATTTTAAAACGGATTTATAAAAATTTCGAATTTTAAACCCCTTTTACACAAGAAAATTATAGTTGATAGGTTTTTCACTTTAAATATCACCAAATTTTACTAAAAATAGTATCAAACACTTACTATTAAGTGAATAGACATTTAGCTTCTAGCCTTTTACAAGAAACTAGAACACCCCCCGATAATGCAAAAGCACCTAAAAAATTTACCTAGCGTGGTCAAAATTCCAAAACCATAGAGGGCGGCCGTTTTGTAGGACCACTCGTGTCGGGGATCGTTCCCAATTTCCATTAGACACCTAAAAAAGCAAAATAAACTATGTAAAAAGCACTATAAAGCTACCGATGAGCAATTTCTTGTGCAAAATCCGCTTCTCGTAGTACCCGTACCTGGTGGCGATACCTAAAAAAGCCGAAATTTGCGCTTATGAGTTCAAGTTTTTCCTAGGAGGCGAGAAATTGCTAGTAATTGAATAGCAATTGTTTTAAAAATGTTTCTGTCAAAATTCAGCTATATTTTAGAGGGAAAACTAATTAGACAACTTTGGAAACGTCTAAAAATTAGAAATTTTGGTAAAAAATCTGCCACTTCCGCTCGAAAAAATTATTTTTGGTATATTTACAAACCTTTTTGTAAAGTTTTTATGCCTCGGAATAGTAAAAATAGTGTACAGACAACTTCTCTATTCTTTTCTTAGAAATTTAGACGCCGAAACCCCACCTCAACAATATTTCTTTGATGCAATGCGCCTTGGCCATCGTTTCGTTTCGTCTAAAACGACATTAATGCAAACATCATTTCTACTTACTTTAAAAACTCTTCATATTCTGCTTCGAAATGGAGAAAGACAAAGCCGCCAATCAGGGTGTAGACGGTCAGGAAAACGATGATCGCCGCGTTCACGGCCACCGCTTTTCGGTTCTGCCACATCAGCTGAAAAGAAACTTTAGAAAAACGCCTACAAGAAATAAGTTGTATTTTAAGCACTTCTTTAAACCTAGCCACGCGGATGATAATTTTTCTAAACTCACGGTTCGAAAATTTTAGGCATTTTTAGAAGTCATCTTATTCCCCTGGATCCAATTTTTCTAATGTAAATACAAAGTTTTGCTAGTAGAAATTTTTGTACACTGTTTTTTTACTCATGCTACAGGAATCTATTTAAAAATCCAAATTAACGATTTTTCCGCCAAAAATGGTCGATTTCCGACCAAAGTTTAAATTTTTAGAAAATTTCTGAAGTTTTTAGATAGTTTTTCCACTTGAAATATAGTCAAATTTTACTTTAAAATAGTTGGTATTACGTCACTGGACATATCTATGCCGGTAGAAAAATAACTCATCTTGAAAATTTTAGGGAAACTTCTTCATTATATTTGCTTCTAAAGTCAAATATTTTTCCTAAATATAAGCTAAATCTTCTTCATAAAAACTCCAAAATACAAGCCATTTCTCTAGAAATTCCAATGGAAAGCTGAACTCTACGCGAGAAAGTGACGAACCCATTGCAAGACGACATCCTTCCCCCTCAACCACGCCCCGAGTACCATAATCACGGATTGTAGAATTGAATTCAATCAGAGTCGCCAGCGAATAACCAGCCAAATCGCCCCAACCGGAGTTCGACTCCTCGACCCCCCCTGCTGCTCCTCTTTTGCACCCCACATCTCCCTGGGGATCGACACGACGAAGGGCGGATATGTGGACCCCCGCCAAGCCTCCGGACTTCTTCTCTCGCTCGACCTTTGAGCCTTCTGAGCACAAGCTTCACAACCTAGCTCAAGGGCTCCCCGAAGAGTTGCCCCCCCCCCAGCACTTCTCACTCAAGCCACGCTCAAAAAGGATACCCCCGGTTTTTCAAGATGGATCTCCTCCCTGGCCAAAAGGAGGCTGAGGAGGTTGGCCCCGGGCCCAAACACTCGCCAAAATGAAATGTTTGCCGGGCCAAAATCTTGCCCTAAAAAGGTTGGCTTGAAAACCCAAAATTCCGATCTTTTAGGATTTTTTTGTGCTGGTGCGCTAGCGGGGGGTATCTAGCCTATAGCTGCCTTGGTTTCTCTAGGATTTTCGATTATATTTTTCTGGGGCTTTTATCAGTTTCTAAACCCTAAATTTTTTGAAAATTTGCAAAATTTTTAATTTTCGACGAAAATTGAGATTTCCCGGAAGTTTTACCAGTTCTTATAAACCACCTATATCAAAAGGGTAGAAACCAAAAGATGGGTATTATCAAAGCCCGGGGGGTGCCCTCCCCCGCTAACGACCCAGTCCCGTTTTTCGACTCACCGTCGTCGTAAACAGATCCCCGCGCGATGAAAATTTGCGCATCGCCGGCGGGAGCACCGGCTAAAGCGGAAACGGGAAACGAACAATAGAAAGTACTTTTCTACTGTAAGAACGAAGACAAGGCAGATTTTAAAGGAACTGGCAAGGGGGTGCTTATCGATTTTACAGTGAATCTACAGGCAACAGGGCCCGGGGAATCCATAGGAATCGATGGTCATGCCTTGCCGGAGTCAAAAAAGCAGATCCGGAAACATTGGACTTTCAAAAAATAGCAAGTCTTTTTGGAGTTGTTTCCGGTGTCAAAAGCTCAACGAAAAAATGCAAAAAATCACACAATCGTAACATTATTATTCTCCTTACTTTGAAAATGAGGTTTATTATTATTTTCCTTTTGGAATTTTTTTATCGGTTTTCCGGACGCAGAGTAATAATAAAAAAGGGCATAATCCATTTCTTCAATCCAGCAAAAATTCACAAAATTGGAAATTTTGAGAATTGTCATCGTTTTTCCGGCTTCATCGTAAGAAGAAAAAAGGTAAAACCCATTTCTTCCATCGAAAAACATTCACAAAACCGTCCCCCTAAACCGCCCGAGTCTGAGGCTGCCGGCCGGGGGCGATTTGGTGGGGAACTTGGGGCGTGATGATGGGATGCGCCTTCCGGCCGGCCACTCCGAAACGGGCCGAAAATCTCAAAAAATGGCCCTGCCACAAAGGAGCGGGGGAGATTGACCGTGGTGATTAGAGGAGGGCCAGCTTCTTCACACACTGCCCATCTCTTTCTCAGAGAGCCAGAAGAATCCCCGGGTTGATTCTCCCCCCGCCAAGTCTGTGTGGGTGGCCTGGGAGAATTGTGGCGCATACCGATTAGTTCTAAGTTTACAAAGAATTTTTTTGGGTAGAAAAACCCCGGGGAAACATAAACTTGAACCGAAATGTTCAATGATCTTCCGGCCATCAAGAAGACGCCTTACAACTTTGCTTTGAAAAAAAACTACTTTTCTACCAGTATGGCCGATTTTCAGGCCGCTTTCAAATATTTCAAAGGTTGGATCAATTAAAATCGAGTTGAAAACGCTATTAAAACACTTAGTTACTAAGAATTTCTGGATTTTCTAATAAAAACTCCAAAAAATCGACTTTTCGCCAAAAAAACCCATTTTAGACAAAAATTTGAAACTTTCAAGCCATTTTCTACGCTTTCACAATTCCCTGCAAATAATAAAGAGCTAAAAACCATACAATAATCTTTGAAACGACTAAAAACTAAAGACTACTAAAGTAATCGCTAAAAAACCCAAAACTCACCGCGCTCACAAAAATGTCGTCTTGCGACTGCTTGGCCATCTTGAACGCTAATTGTTTGTGGTCAGACAACAATACACAGTAGGCCCCGGCCGACGAGCAAAAATTGCAATTCCCGAGGAATGCGCCGCTAAGCCGCCCTGGACACTTCGAATAAACACCAAAAGCGCCGAGTCGAAACTCTGGCAACCCTTTGTGGGCTTAAAACATAGGTGAACGCATATGATAGCCCGGGTTCTTCCTTCGAAGGCATCCCCGCCAAACGAAATCCGATATTTTCATGCCTGGCGTTCCTTGAAAAAGCAAAAACCCACCTCGCACATCCGGAAAACGCCAAGCGGGGCATCAGCCGAGGAAATCTGAAGAAATATGGGCCGGGGGCTCCCGCACGGGTTGCAGCCGCAGCGGGCCATCTCCCTGGTGGCCCATTTAGCGAAACAATAATATGAAAGATGTTTTTTTACTACCCCATTTCTTTGTTTTCAGAGTTTTTTTAGTTTTATGAAGAGAAAAATCGAGCGATTACGATTTGAAACACTGATTCCGCTACTATACAAATCTCGAAAAGTGTCATTAGGCGTCAACAGAGCTACTCGAATTCTTGGAATCCAATTTAGCAAAAATTTTTAAGAAATTCAATTAAAAAAATATCTATTTTCTATATTTCATTTATCAAAAGATTATTTCTAGAGTGTTCACTACTTTTTTTTTTTAGGATGGAGCACCTTCGAGAAATGTTCCTTGATATTCGGCACTTTATATTCCCGGATGACTGCTACGAGGTTAACCGCATTTTTACCATCACAACCCCATTTCAGGAACTCGTCACAAGATTCAACGTCTCGCATCCAGTTTGCCCGAACATTGTGCTGTCGCGCGTGCTCGGTCTGGCAATAACGGCTGGTTCGGTATAATTCTTCTGTTTGTTGGCTATTTTTCACATTTAGATGGCGCTGTTCATCCCGCAAATACTCAAGATCGCTGCGGCAAGAAGCGGGAAGGGGATCAGCTTTCCGGCGCAGCTCCTAACGCTGGTCGGAGTTATCGGGATGCCGGCTTATTCGTACGACCAAGGCTTCGTTTTCTCACAATGGGGCGACGGACTCTTTTCGGCGATACAGCTTGTCATCATCTGTATGCAATTGCTTTATTTTGGTGGGTGCATTGCTTTGCAAGATCGATTGCTGAAAACAAACCTTTTTCTCATAATGTATTTCTTTCTAGATGGACGAGGGATGTTCGCAGCGGTTTTCGCCATTTCCTGGGCGGCAGCAGCGATAGCAGTATACATACACGCCGTCCCACCTACAATACTCGCCGCCTTCCTCTCGGGCGGAACCGCCATAGTTATCGTCGCGAAAGCGATCCAGGTTTTTGATATCTGGCCTATTAACCTTTTCATGCAGATCTACCAAAATTGGTCCCAGCGTTCAACCGGCCAACTGGCCTTCATCACAGTGTTGCTCCAATTTGCCGGCAGTCTGGCAAGAATCTTCACCTCAATGCAGGTAAGGTTTTTATAGCATAAGTACTTCCGTTTTTTTAGGAGACGCACGACTTCCAATTGATAATGGCCGCATCACTTGCCACACTCTTTAACGGATCAATTTTTGCTCAATTTCTCATCTACTGGAACAAAGAACTCGTCACGAGCCCCAGGTACCCGAATCTCCGAGTCCTTTAAAACATCCTTTAGGACTACGTCGAAGACGCCATCCCCGAATCGACGGTTCCCCACCAGTCAACTGTCACCGCTTCTTTGCATACGGTCACCACGTTTATTATCAGTCATATGTCGTCGCATTTAATACCCACTCACATCTTGTAATTTACCTTCTGTTTGCATTGCATGATCCGTTCTATCTATGAATCCATATCTATCGTCGTTCTAACACAATTTGAAAGAAACGAACCCTATTTTTGTGAAATTGTGCTGTTAGTTTGTAATTTTCCATTTTCTCGCTGATACTGCTCCGTATTGCATTTGGCTTTCCATATTTTTGTGCTGTCATAAAATGTGCCTTACAATTTGGCAAACATTTATTATTTTTTCAGGAAATCTCTGGGGACATGGATCGGTTGTACATCCCGTGCAGTTTCTGGGAACACGCGGCGGATGATTGCACAGTGGTCAGTCAGCTGAAATGACTGTTTCTATGAAGTGTCTGATGACGTCGCTATTAGAGCCGCAACAAATTCTGGTCGAAAAAACCTGTTCAATTCGAAAACGAGAGTGGCGCGCAATGCGTTCCCTTTCTTCTTTGAAGGCTACGTCTTTGATACAGGGCTTTGGCGTTTCGTGAGCAGCACCGAAATGATTCTGACATCGGGTAGGAAGGTGCATAATTCTGAACAAACCAGAAGACATCCCCAAACCCATCTGTCGGTGGGAATTCGACACAGCTGGCATTGGTCAGCTAAAAAAAATTTTATCGAAATAGCTTTAGTATTACCAAATATATTCGCCGGGTTCAGCATCCCCATACAAATTCTGCACGATCGAGCGGGGTAACCGCCCAGGAAGGCGCCGAATTTTTCGATGGAGCTGTCAGTAAGATAAATCTAATTTCCTTTACATAAAACGAAGCTAAAAAGAAACCGACGGTATCTCCGATAGCCAGCTGAATTGTTCCTTCCAAGGCGCTCGTTAACTCTTGAATATTATAAAACTAAAGAGATGTCGTAGGCATGAAAGCACAAACTGCAGCTTCAGCGCTCAGTTCTTGCTTTTCTTGTGCAGAGAGGCCAACGGGGACGACGCGATTGCGGTAGAAATTCAATATATGGCTATTTGGGGCTTGTTAGGATCGTTATGTTCCTGTGTCAAACTTACCGGAAATGTGTGGGATCGCGATCTAGAAAGATGCTGCTACTCGAGGGTTCGCCATCAGACCATCGGTTAAACAAAGCCTCTATTAAAAGGATCAATAACATCCCAGATTTAGTCACAAACCAAAATACGTTTCCGGGATGGAGGTTAGTGTTTCGACAGTCGTCACAAACTCGGTCCCTCCAACATCAAGAACAACTCGTCTCATCGTCGACCGTACACCCTGTTTTAGCCATATTGATTAACAAATGCATTACAATTTTTGAAAAACTGTTAGATCCATGTTTCTATGATTTTAGTTGTAATCTAAATCACAAAGAATCATCGCTTTATCACGGGATAGCCGGTTGTATACAAAAACAGATGTAATCGTTTGAAGGCACATGATTTCCTACTGGAAAATTTCACATTTGACGATAGGAGTACGCAGTTTTAAATAACGGAGCCCAAGTTTGACCCGATCCAAAAGGGCCAAAGAAAGATTAGATTAAGATGATATCATGATGGAATGGTGGGCTCTATGCAGCGAGCGGCGTCTCACAAAGCCAGCGGATCGATCTTGGCGACTTTCGTGGTGCTGCCTTGCTTAGCTGCTTCCTCTTCGGCCTATAAGAACAAAACATTCTAAACCAATCTCAGAAATATACTCACTTTTTTCTGTGCGGCGAGTTCTTGCTTTTTCCGCATCACGTCGGCATCACGGTTCATGCGGGTATCCAAGCTGGCTCCCTAAATCCAAATTAGTTTCAAAAAAATAGCAATACCGCATTGGCACCCTTTTCGGCGGTTCCTTTCCTCTTTGCCTGTTCCTGCTGCTTCTTGAGGTTCTTCGCACGAGCCAAGTCTCGCTGATTTCCGCCTAGAAATGGGGTTATTCAGCGAGCAGACAACAACAGTGTGCTGCGCATTCGTTCATCGCCTAAATTCAGAAAGTAATTAACCCCAAAACTCTTGAACAGCCCATCTCTATGCTTAGAAATAATGCTACGTCAAGTTAACCTATTAAATGTCCAGTAAAAGCTTAAAAACCAGCAAATAAACCCACGTGTCATGTTGGAGGATGTAGAGACGTTTCTCGGCGAGTCGAAGGCCGGCAAGTGACGGCAAGCGGGGTGGGCAGCGAGCGGGTAGAGTGTAGAGACACAGAGAAATCAGCGCTTGGAAGGAACCGGTCGAAGGACGCGCCTGCAATGAATGTCTTTACACCATCCGCGCGATCGCCTCGAAAAGGGAAGAGCAAAACGGATAAGGATATTGAAGCCGATCCTGCGTGAGAACAAAGACGTACGAGTGCACTCAAAAAACCAACAAAAGCAAGGATACGTGGGAGTACTAGAGCAAAATTGCTGGAGCTAAAACTAAAAAATTGGCCAAATCAAGAAAACAGCAGAAACGCGAGCCAAAAATCCCAAAAATATATGAAAAAAGTTTCTAGAGTAGGGTTGTCAGGTTAAAAAAAAACAAGAAAATTGATAGCGCTTGTATTTCGGAATACGGAATAGTTCCCGACTTTTCTGAATACGTAAAGCGTTGTAATGTGGTCCGATTTGGTTCCCTAAATTTCGAAAGTTCTCGCGTTCTAACTCGTAAATTATTTTTTCTGATCAGTTCTGAATTCCCGAAATCAAAATATACTGAAAAAGTTATTACAAGCAAAAATACAGCCGTTTCAGAAGGCTTCATATACGTAGCACCACAAAAATGACGAATTCGGTAACCTAATAAATTTTCGATTATTTTAACAATTACTGAACAGCGAGCGCCATTAGCTTAACACATTTGTCCCAAAATTTGATAGGCCGAGCCAAAGGGGGCGTATAAAGCGATAAGGGCACCCATTTTCACGCCCCCTGCCTCTTTCATTCAGGAATGGCCAAGAAGGAGCATATGCCCGCAGATCCATCGCCGTATTCCAAATCCGCGTATTTTCCGCTATATTTCGAGAAGGACATCATCGAACCACGGCAGCCACTGCCGGGAGGTGGCCAAGCCGAGCCGTTCATTTGCGGGCTCAAAGGATTACAGTTAGACCAACGTTTATAGTCATTAATGCATCGATTCAGGGGAAAATTTGTGGTGAAATTCCGGAAGAACACCGTGAAGGAGGCGAACGGAGGTCTGGCCGACAATAGAAAGATCAGGACAGAATACGGCAACCATTTCTCAGCCAGCACACATCCCAATATTCTCAGGGTAAGGTTGCAGGGTCCGAGCTATAGTTTAACCAGTTTTCTGCAGTAAATCCACATCAAGAACTTGTTAGGTTTTCGGCAAAATAGAACTCGAGAAAGATGGAAGTTTGGGCGCGGTCTTCGAATATCATCCGGAGGGGAGCCTAGCGGAGCGTAAGCTCGTATTTTGCTGCCCTAGCTAATAGCTAAGACTCATAGTTATCCGCGGAAACATATACACGTATGATGAGGAAAATATCGTTGACTGGTTGGCGGACATCGCATCCGCGCTGTCACACATACATAGCCGTGCGAGATTTTACCACGGCGATGTCTCCGATGGAAAGTACGGCACTTTGCGGTCATAGAAAAGTGTAACTGGTTCAGCGTTCTGTTGCGAAATGGGCGGACTGTCGCTGTGCTCAGCGATTTTGGATTGGCCCGGACGAATAGTTCTGAAGGGCATGTTAGCGGAACGCCAGGATATATGGCGCCGGAGGTTGGTTCCGATCAAACAAGCATTCTTCCACGTGGAAAAGCAGCTAATGGGAGTCTACCAGATCTATTAATATGATTAAACTATTGTCAGGCATATCGCGGAGAAACCACCTTGAAGAGCGACGTCTACAGCTTAGGGGCCTTGTTGTGGCGGCTCTCCTATCGCGAAAGGTTTCAACTTTAACCCATTTTCCCAAAAGGTAACCACTTTTAGCCTCGTTGGTACCTACAACCAGCAGACCTTAAGTGATAAGGTCAAGAAAGATGGATTTCATCGTGACTATTCCGATATGGCCGCCAACTTGAAGCCGATTCTGAAAAAGTAGGTCTTTTTTGGATAGAAAACTTCGGAACTTGTGTTGCTACAGACCTAATCAATTTCAGTTGCTGCGCCCACCAAGTGGATGCTAGATGGGATGCCTCTGTGGCCTACGAGGAATTGGTAAAACTACAAGGCGCACGGACGAGCGAGGAGCGAAAACAGCCGACGTTTGCGAATCAAGGTCTCGGCCAGCCAGGGGGTATCAGACACCAAAGGACCCTGATTTCGGCCTTTTCAGTGGTCCGTCACGCTCCACGGGACATATCAGACAGTGGTGATGGTGGTGGTGGTGGTGACTTGATGCCGACGATAACCCGTGATCAACCGGTTCCGCCACCCCGCGCTCAGCAGTATTCGCGTAGTCTCTACCAGCCAAACCCCACGTCGGCATGGTCATCGAGCCAATCTAGGCCTTCTGGCAGTAGCTCAGCCGAGCGCCAGAACACAAGCAGCCAGACACCGGAAACATCTGGGACTACTCCCGATCCCACTGTCAGCTCGGAAGGCATTCAAGACAAATCTATCAAGGACCGGGCGATTCCACCAGTAAATCTTTAACTTTCTTATTTAAATCATGTACCTTCAAAGTTACCAGTAGTCCCTGGCTAACAATGATATTAAGGTAATCTTCAGCGAACGAGAAGAGCAGGAGCGGCGTTATTGGTTGAAGCTCTTCGACATCTACGGGCCAATGCCTGGAGGCGAGCCGGTAGGATTAATATTTGTGTACGATTTCAGCTCTCTTTCTAGCTTATATCGGTGACGCGGCAAGGACAGGCAACAATTGCTGCTATCGGCTGGCCTACCGAGCGCGGAACCACCAGTGGCTCCAGGTAAAGCCAATTCGCGCAACACTTCCAGAAGCTTTCAGTCGACAGGCGTGCATATGCGTGAAAACACTCTACCACCTGGCCACCAACGAGGAGAACCACGATTTCAAGGAGACGCGCGTGTACACGGAGCAGGTTAATGAGCACGTAAGCCTGGAAGCTGATAAGGAAGCACCTTCATATGTTTGTAGGAAATACTCACGGCCCTAAAATGGAATCAAGAGGGCACGATGCTGGCCGCGATACTTCAGGGGGAGAATACCCAGCGTCTAATCACGGCCAGAGTAATAGAAAAGGGTATTTACACCGTTTAAGGGCACAAAAGTTAGTTTCTAGATCACGGCTTCCAAGTCAGCCACCAAGAGAGGAAAATAGCGGCACGGCCGCAAGTATGCAGTTACGCATCTGTAGCGATGATTCGCAACCTAGAAAGGACACGCTCGGTACAGAATGGAAAGGAAATCGGTTCTTTCGCGCCATCGGGGGAGACCAAATTTTTTTGTATAAGCTCGAAAGCCTAGTAAATTTTTTTGATAAAATAAAACTATATTTCAAATACAAAAACTATCTAAAACCGTTCATACAATTCCCAAAAAAATGACATTTTGGTAAAAACAGCGGTTTTTGGTCAAACATCGATACTTTTTGTATTTTTTAAAAATTGTAAAGTCATTACCTTCGGGAATAATAAAAACAGTTTAGAAATAGTCCCGCTATTTATATGTAAAAATTGGATCCTAAGGAAAATGTTTGCCCCCCAATAATGCTAAAGAACCGGAAACACCCTTTCCAGGTAGCCCCGATAATTGATTGGGCACCCGGCATGGAAGGGCAGCTGGCTGTATGCTTCGCCGATCAGCTTCTAGTCCTGAAAGAAGGTAAAGACTAAATTCTAGAGAGGACAACAATAAACATCTTCCAGAACGATACCAACCGCATACGGATAATATTCACCTTCCGGCCTTCACGCTGCGCCATGGTAACTTCGATCACTAACACAAACATGCATCCATTATAGGCATGTCGGTCGACTTTGAGCCGTCCACCGCCCCTGCCCAGATTTGCGGCTGGGATGCAACCGGAGACAAATTTTCTTACTACTTCTCGGGCCACCTTTACACATGGTCGGCAAGTGAGGCTCGACTCAGAACAAGGCCCTTGGTAGGCCTTAGCCGCTTTGTCATAATTTTTAATCAGACTCTGCCCCGACAAGCGAAACACCATCTTGTCATTGGCGAGTACCCAAAAAGGACGGTACATGTCGTTTGTGAAATGCCAGAGTGCTATGAGGTCAGCAGGGAAACTCAAGTTTGAGCTTTTTTTGGCAGATCTGGGCCTTCGCAAATGGAGACTTCACGCTTGTCGAGGTGGTAACTAAGGCTAGCAACCAGCGCATGCTAGGAGTCCTGCCAAGCGAAAGCAAAAGCGATATCCGCTACGTGCAACCATTTGAGTCGAGGCTCAACAGTTTCCCGGGAGGTGTCTGCATAGCCAGGTAGGCTGGCACAATATCATAAAATCCAGAATGTAGCAACCAACCCACCGGCACCAATAGTTCCGTGTTAGTGGTGCACCTGGCTGGTTCGGAGTCTAAACAGTTAGCCCTAAACGGCGGCGACTCGCAGGTATTTCCAAACATCTCCACATTCGCCAAAATTGCTTAGATTCGGGCTATGCGCTTCAAACCAAATCAACCGCATCTGGCAGCCTTAACCGAAAAGAAGCTGATTATCTACGAGACAGGACCAGAGCTGAAAGCCGGCTGTTCGTAGAATGCGCCAAATTGTGCATGAGCCTTTAGATATCTTCGATCTGGCTCGTCTGATACCATTCTCACCGAAAATTCGCTACAGCCTTAGCGGGAAGACGCTATTCCTATGGCGAAAATCGGGTGACAAAACGGCGGTAAATAATTGCATTGGCAAGGACGAGAAATTTCTAGGTGACGGCCATGTTGCGGATAAAGCATCAACCAAGATATGTTGCGAATCCAGTATGACATGTACCGCTGTGCAGACTCATCACCGGGCTTAAAAATAAACTTTTTTATCGATAGAATGCCAAAAGCAATGCAAGAGATCACAATTGTGAGCATGAATTTGACCCCGACAATCTAGAGGAGCAAAAATGAGTGGCAAGGAAAGTGGAGCAAAAGTTATAATATAAGGGTTTTCCAAGGGCGCCCATCGAGCTATGTGAGACGAAGGGCGCGCAAGTATGCCTAAAAAAAGAAATAAACAGATTAAATAAAACCAGGGGCGTAGCCAGAAAAAAAATTTCGGGGGGCCCAAAAAATTTTTCCAAAAACTCAAAAGTTTGAACGCCGCAGGCAATAATTTTTGAAAGAAGGTTGCATAGTTCTACAAATAGCCGTAAAAACGTGAGAGAAAAATAGCGCCGCAGGCAGCAAAATTTTTGAGAAAAAAAAATCATAAGGGTCCCCCCCTTATGAAATTTTGGCCCCGGCCGATTTCGGGGGGGCCTGTATTACGCTACGTCCCTGAATAAAACACATACCGCCGGATTGCCAATCTTCAGCATTTCGAGGGGAATAAGGCGACAAGCCGTGGTGTCCGGATATGTGGCTACGGCGCATTTGACCCCCTCGTACTCCAAAAGATGTATAATTTCCTTTATCTAAACGAAGAATTGTACTAACAAAAAGGTGCTGGCAACCTGAATACAATGTTTGAGAAAGCCGGGCTCTGCGGCGTGACTTCTTTCAGGTCCCTCTTCCGATGGCTAAAAATAAAAACGTAAAAATTGCGCTGGGAAAAAACCCGAGGGGGCGCTGCACGTGGATCGTAAAGTTGGTCATTCTCTACAACGTTTTCTGAAGGGATATCTCCCATATCCTAAAAACGCAAGTTTCTAATTAGCTAACTACTGATACCAGGAGATCAATCGGCTCTTCCGCCCTCAGCCGCTCCTCCTCCGCCTCTAGACGTTTTATTCTAGCTGCATCTTCCTTGGCTTGCCGTTCCTCGATCTGCTGCTTCCGTTTCGCCTGCTTTTCCTTCTTCTTTCTGTCCCTTTCCTCTTTCTTTTCCTGCTGTTGCTGCCTTTCCTAAATTTTGGCAGCGTATCTATGCTTGTCCGGGAAAGTAATTTTCAACAATACCGACAATTATACTTAAAAAAATGATTTGCACATACCTCGAGTCGCTTTGCTTCCATATGCCTGGATTTTCTTGACGTCTTGGCCAAAACTTCATCTGAATCCAGCTCGCCATCAGAAATCGAATCCCCTTCAGCGGGATGCGGCGGTGATGGTTTGTCGATCTGGTTTATCTACAAGAGATGTTGTGAAAGGAAAAAGAACGCACTGTTTTGCTTGAAGTGGACTGCTCTAGGTTCTCTTCAAAAGCATCATCACTATCAGATGCAGGGATCTAAAAAGTTCATTGTCGACAAAAAAAAGAGGTTTACAAGTTTCTGCGGACATATGCGGGGCTCGATATCGCTATCCTCACTGGAGCTGTGTATCTGATATGGATATTATTGGGCAGGATGCGACCGGAGGTACCTTTTCAGAACGGCTATCGGCAACTACAGTCTTGACCTTGTTCTTTTTATGCATCTCCGTCTCACTCCGTATCGGGCTGTTGCTTGGCCGATCCTTCTTCTTTTTTTTCTTCGGCAAAGAGTTGCTTCGGTCGGTGTCGAGACTTCTATCGCGTTCAGTCGAAATTGAGGTATCCCGTGACACTGACCGCTCACCCAAGTTGCGCGGGGCAATATTCTAAAGAATGTGTTGAAGCTGAATGAAACCTCACCTTTTTCTGTAAATCATTTTGAGGCTCCGGACGCTTTCGAGGGATTGCAGGTGGAATTCGTTTGGTGAATATAGGGGCGGAACTCTGAACGATTCATTTATTCAAAAACGTTAGAACCAGTACCTGTGAAGTGCCTGGTTTAGAGACGTCGACTGGCGCAGACGGCCTGGGTCTTGCTTGATCAGCCCGCTTATCCGGTGATTTCGAGGCAACCTGACAATAAAATTCCACTAAAAAAGGACTATAACCTCAGCCAACATGTCAGAAGTGCTTTGTCTATTAATCTTGTTCGGCGAAACTAGGGTGGTGCCCTAAACAAATATGAAAGCTACATAACGGTTGAGGATACCGATGCCTGATTTAAAGAGGCTGTATCGCTAGATCTTGACCGTTCTCTCTCACGATTCGAAGCTGGAGAAGTGTGTGGCTAAAATAGGTCGACTATGAGAAAAATTACAACCTTTGCTACCTTTTGGGGAACTCGTTCCGGACGGATTCTGGTGTGGTCGGAGCGGGGCGGAGGCTTCCGCTTCGCCGCCGATTTCGACAAGGCTAGTGGGTCCTTCATGGCGACAGCCTTTGGCTTGTTCAGCTGGAGTGCCTTTGCCTTGTCCGGCGGGGGTGGCTTGTCCGGCAGCCGCTAAAAACGGTTTATAAGCCAACGAAGTACTCTACCGGAACCGGCCTAACGGGTGGGGGTGGAGGAGCGGGGCGATTTTCCGCAGCCATAGGCTTTTTCACCGCCTAAAAAAATTGATAATGAACGATGAACTGGGATAAGCAAAAAAAAGGCATTTTGAAGATACCTTTTGTCCAAGCTTATATACGCCGTTGCTTTCAAACTGATCGACGGAATAGCGTGGTTGATGGGTGGTGCGGATTGTGGGCTTAGACCTGGGGATGGCAGGCGCTTGCTTGGCCTAAAAATAATAGATTAAATTCCGAATGCCTTAATTCCGTTTTTTTCATTCCTTAATCTACGCGCATTCATATTCAGGCGATCCAACAAGAAATTAGCCCAAAAATACCTTGCACAAGCCTGAAATATACAAACCAATGAGGCAGCATGCGATCGAGGAGGACCGGCACTTTTTCCGACAGGAGCCGGCGCTGTTTGACGCCGAAGTTCAAGCTGGATTCTCGCGGGTGGAGCCTGAAATTAACGTCACCTATCGAGAAAGGCACCGACCGAGTCATCGGATTTCCGCGAATGGGCTATCCTAGGGGCAGGGCGGCTTGGGTCTATGTACTCCTAAAATGAGCGCAAAGTTGAGGAGGTCCTCTTCCTCACCGCATCGTAGTCGGCATCGGGTTCTTCATAGTCCATATCAGCTGCGTGAGAAGTCGATGGTCTATCAGCACTGTCTGTGGACGAATTCTGAAATATAGCTATAGACCTGAAAATCCAATCGGCCGTTAATCACCGAGACAAAAATCAAAACAAATCCGGTTAAAATGCGTAATTTCTAACCAGTGTATCGTGTGCGGGATTAAGGTTCCGATTTTCGGAGAAGTCTTCAACACCGGGCTCACGATTAGATGCGCGGCTAGACCCGGCAACAGGCTCTCGCTAAAAATTAAAAATGAACAGTAACAAGCCAACAATACCGGTTTTATTGGAGCCGGTCCGGCGCTACGACGATCAGCAACATTCGACTGTCGAACAGCTTCAGCATGTCTATCAACGCCAGATGCCGGGTCCGAGGCAATACCCGCCTAAATCGAGGTCAGTAAAAGACTGTTTAAGGTACCGGTAGATGTTGAGCGGCCTGTCTTGCAACAGACTGGATCGGGGGTCGAGGGACCTGGAAAAAATGATAGTTCACGTCGTCAAAGCACCACTGTAGAAGAGGATGATGTATTTCTCAGGCGAGGATCCGCGATCTCGATGTTCGTCTCAATCGGTATCTAAATTCCTTCATGAAGGCATGGTTCCATCAATTAATGGAAATCAATAGTTTTAAACAAGGCTATATTTATTATCAGGTGCAGCAAACGATTATCACCGCAAAAAAACCTTTATAAATGTGCTATGTTTGTTATTCGTGTGTTGTGGTGAGTTTGAAGCTACCTTCCAGTGAGAAGGTAGTAAAATGCTGATGTGTTAACGGTTGTTAAGAGAATACTGCAGAGATTAGCTCATTGGCACATGCTCACTACAAACGGTGCATCTATACCAGGACAGTCTCCCTCCGGATCGGGACCGGACCCTCGACAAGCGGTCGTCTTTTGGGGAAACCCCGTGAGTTTTCGACGGGGAGCAATGGTGGGTAGTATTTAGGCGGCCAAATCTAAGTATTTTTATTTTATAATTTTACGGAAATGGGGTTGATTTGTAAAACAGCAAATGATACCGAGAGATCCAGTCGTGGAGAAAAGCCTTGATGCTGGTTGTCGTCTCGGATGGGTGGTTGTTCAGAGTGCGGCGATGGCGGGTAGAAGAGCGGCCTTGATTGAAAGGGCAACGGAGATGGAGGATGGAATTGAGGCCTCGATTCGAAGGGTAGCGAAGGTGGCGGACTGAATTGAGGTTCCACTTGAAATGGTGTCGAGAATGGCGGGTTCGGCTGCGTTGGAAGTGACGTTTTGCCGGGTGGCTGGAAAAACAATAAATGAGAAAGATATCCGTAAGAATACCGGTAAAACTGGTGGAATCGGAGGTTGCGCCAACAATTCACTCGCTGTATTGGTGGAATCCAACGATCCGGCAGATGCAGCCACCGAATCCTGCAAAGCGGATTTCAAACCGTATCAAAGCTTGAAAATACCACAGAGTTCGGCCCGCTATCCGAAGAGGGCGATCGGCGACGTAACCTTGGATCCAGGTCTTCTCGATTCACATTTTCGACCACCGCCACCGGAGCTGTCAGAATTGGTGGAGTCGGCTGAAAAAAGTTTACAGAAAAGTTTAAAAGCTCATACTGGTGGTAGCAGAGGACCGGTATCAGACTCCGCATCGCTCACAACGGGCTAAAAGTTCCTAATATTTTTATGAAAATCCTTTACCGTTGGGTCGTCGCTCCGAACGGTAGCTGCCTAAAAGGGGGGTTTTGCGTACAAATTAAAACTACCTCCGAGGTTGCAACAGACTCGGCAATTCCAGGAATCGAAGACGCACAGCAAGGCACGGCGAGCGGGGGCTGGAGGAAAACAAATAATGTAATTCTAGACGAAAATACCTCAATTCCCTGCGAAATGTGGGCGGCAACCTTCGGGTACTTCTCAGAAATAAGTTCTTCCTCACTAGCCAGCTTTAAAAAAGTTTTAAACAATAATTTTTACCAGGAATAGACCTTCGAATTCCTCGCGATAAACTCCACGGCGCTCTCATGGCCTCGCTAAACAAAACGTTGAGCGAAAATGATTCATAGCCACGTACACAAGCTTCTTCAGGGATCCAGGAATTCTTCTCGGGCCCACATCCCTTCCATTCGACGAAGAAAAACACCATCCCATTTCGCATCTTTCGCTTGATGATCTTTTTGACTAAAAATTGGTTTGGTAAAGAAGTATGCTACTTACTTTCATAATATTCGTCTTCCTCATCCATGTCCTAGACGGTGGAACGAATGGCCTGGCCTATAAGATGTGAATTAGAAGTGACGCAAAAACCAGAATCTACGAGAATGAGAACGAAAATTAATCTAAAGTTGAAAGAATGGGGGGGTGCTAGAAAGTTCACCGTAAGCGCTTGGGGCCATAATAGAATTTCAAATCCAGGAGTTCAAATATTAATAGAACCAACTCCCGTCCTCTACTATAAAAACATTTCCGGTTGCTTTCATAGGTTAGAAAAGACTTTAAAAGAAAGCTTTTCAACCGAAAAATTTAAACGGGAGCAAATCGTCGGCTTGCTATTTAGATAGCGTAATCCAAACCGAGTGCAGCTTGCCCTTTGCCCTTCTCTTCTCTGTCTTTTGGAACTAGGGTAACTCTGCAAAACAGGCCGGATTCGCTTGGGTTTGGCCAAACTTATTTGTGTTATCGTGCGCTTTATATCATTGAATATTTATTCAATTAACGGCTCGCTGGTCCGGCTGACCATCTTGACAATATCGGCCCGCATCTCGCTGCTCAAAATCAGTAGTGCCCAGATTGGCGCCAGCGTCGCCAAAGTGTTGACTAAAAAACGAGCATCGTGAAAGCGTCCGAATGCAGCGTGTGAAAGGTTCCTGGCAATATGCAGGTGGTAGTAGATCATGACCTAAAATGAGTATTTCTAGTTTTAAACTAGGCCGAAGACCTAAACTAGTCCTTCTTTATAGAATACCTGATCAATGGAGAAAAGTATCGATATTGTACCAAGAGCAATGCCAACGCCCAGCAAATTGGCTTGCGCACATCCTCGATTAGACCTAATCCGAAGCACTAATACTCCCGTAGACACACCATTCAATATAGCACATAATAAGGAAAGCGCTGCAGAGGAGAGACTGTTCGAAGGCTGCAAATATTAGCCATAATACCTCTAGTAACTTTTTTTACCCATGTGATCCACTTGTTATAAGCCATCCCCAATCCACTGTTTGTGGGTAAAAGCGCCACTTCGGAGACTAGAAGTGGCCATGTGAGGAGGAGAGGCACCAAAAAGCACATCACTAGTGAATAGGGGAGTGCTTTGGCCCAAAACTAGAATAATCTATGTAGAATTGTCTCCTAGTTTCTCACCTGTTGGTATTTTGCACCTAGAGTTATTACAGACATTCGATTCACGCTGACGAGGGTGGAAAGACAAATTTGGGAATGTTGAAGGAAATAGGCGAGGAAGTATATTGGGGTTAGACGGTAGGAGAAGGAATGAAAACGACTGAAATGGCAATGATTTCTGTGTTTTTAATCACCTACCTCAACAACTGCGCACAGAAAATGTTCAGAGTCGGAAACTCGAGGAAAATATGATGGTGGATGAAGCTCAAAATATTCTGAACTGATCATTATTCCCCTAAAAGTTGAGAACTCACGAAGCAAGCGTGCCATGTAAAAATACGGTAGAAGGGCGTGGAATACTTTTGCTTCGTTTTGGACCGCGTTATTAGACAGAGCACGAGGATGTAGAGGGGCAAGGAGACGAGCCCGAGGATGGTTTCCAGCAGGTAGATGTACTACAAATCATCATTTTTGGAGTACATTTCTATACCTTTGGCCACACGGCATCATCATGTGGGCATTTAGACATATTGAGCCGGGGGCTGATCGTCGCCAGGGTGGATTCGAGGCTAGAAAAATACAAACAATTTGAAAATGTACTCTAAACGTGGGGGAGATAATAAACTGGTTGATGACGCAGCGCTGAAATGAGTTCCAGCTGCCTGAAAAGCTGCCCCAAGCAAATAGCTAACTTTCAAAAAGAAATACCGTACAAAAAAAACTACTTTTCCCGCTCAAATGAACATCGGAGGAAAGTTTGAGTTTATAATTTGGGCCCCAGATCCTCGGATGCGCCGCCGGGGCAAAAAGTTGCTGTGGGAAAATGGGGCCCGAAAAAAAAGGAAAAGAGACATCCCGGCGGGCCATGGGATATTGGCATGCGGCCGGTTGGACCTTCATTATCTCGCCAACGTGTAGAATGAGAAACAAACGAGAAATTACTTTTTGGTAAATAAAAATGTAGACCAAAGACCCTGCGAGGAGAACAAAGTAGGGAAAAGGTAGGGACGGCAATCCAGATAAATGGGTTTGGCCGGAGGAGCGAAAGAAGCCCCGGTCTCGTTAGGAGTCTAGAAAGAGCGACTAAACTCCAGTTGGACGTCTTTGACAATTCATTGTCATCGCGTTGATAGATATGAAGCCTGCTTTGCATTCTCAAATTTTACATTTTCCAAAAATTCTATCAAACATTACCTGCTTTACCTTTGATGCTAGTCGGTATCTTACTTCTCTTGAATGCCGTTGGCTCACTTCAATCCGATCCGAAGATCGAGAAGCACCCGCCGGTATTCATCCGTGCTGTTATCCTTAATCCATGTAGATCCCGCTCGAGATCAAGGATTTTTGCCTGTTGGCCGTCAGCCTGTTCACCTTCGCCGCGCTGATCCTCGCCCGCTACCTCACGGCCGCCTAGTAAGAAAAAAACACACATTTTTGCTAACATTTCCTACAGCAATAATGCCCTCGAAACGCAAATAAACGAGCTGGAGAAGCGGCTCTACGAGCGGATTCCATTTGAAGCTGACCAGGATCCGTTCGGCGCGGACGGCCTTGCTGAAGATGTGGCTCGAGATAGTGCAGAAAAGTAATGCTCCCGAATAAGTTAAAAAAACCGGTGTTTTAGGAACGATCAAGAGAACAATGCCGGTTATTCGGAACAAATCATGCGCAAATGGGGCCGATCCAACCCGAACGAGAAGAAGAGCGACAGCAATTCGAAGAAAAGCGTCTCAACTGCCAGCAAAGACAAGCGGGCCAAGATTGTGGAAAACGACGACAATAAGGGGAGCAAGCAAGAGGAAAAGAAGGAGGAAACACCGAGGCAAAACCATAGTGTAGAGAAGAAGGCACAGACCCCGGAAACACCGGCTGCCAATTCCGGAAGTAGTGAGAATGACAAAAATGTGGTAGGCGCCTTTAATTTTCCTCTAAAATTATTTATACAGCCACGGAAACGACGGCTCGGCAACAATTTGGCGCTGCTGGCTGAGCAGGTCGGCCAGATAAAATAAAAAAATCGGATAAAAAATATTTCAGGAACGAATGGTTGATGAAATTCCGAGCGAAAGTCTAAAAGAAAGAAGGACGCCTAAACGACTACCTCGATCTTCAAACGAAATATTGACTTAAACCTTCTCACCTCTTTGTTCACTTCATAAATTTTTAAAATGTCGAAGTGCCTAAAACAAGGATTTCCTTGAGAATTTATCCGCAAAACCCGTGCACGTATTGCTGTAAGGTTGATACATAACATGGCACAAAAATGCACTAAATACAGTACCTGAACATTCCATGTCGGATTGCTCTAAAAAATGGCAGATCAAACGACTATCACAGATATTGATAAATACATGAGAAATTATAGGGTGCTCTCCTCGAGCCCCCGGAGACGATCCCTGGCTTGAGCGTGAACAGCTCGTAGATATTCCTGAAAAAACAACACACTTGATAAGAAAGAGACGAAGAAACGTTACCAGGCGTATCGACTTCTTCCGCAACTCCAAGCGCCGTAAAACTTCGAAAAGTACCTCGTGTCTGAATTACGTTATTTTAATTATTTTTGACTGTTTTCTAGTTTTCTTCTTCTATATACAACTTCACAACCCACTTTTGCGCGGTGGCGTCGTTGAGCAGGGCTGTTTGGTCGAGCCATTCCCTGCACATTGCCAAATGCTCATTATAAGATTGCTCCGACATAGGATCGTCCAATATTTGGTTAGGCGGCTAAACTCGTGGTTAAATTATGCCATTGAAAACCATCTTACCCGAAGCGGTGCCGGGATCCCAGCCAACAACTCGTCGGCGTTGCTCACCGGGGTTGACGTGGAACTAAAGGAACTATTGCTGTTTTCTATATATCCTTTTGAATTTTTCGGACCGGAGCCCAGATAATTCTACCTACTTTACAGTATTCGACGAAGAGCGTGTCGAATTTGGTTCATGGACTGAGGTGGTCATCACAGGTGGTGGTGGACGTTTTGCCTAAATCCCTTGTATCAGAAAATAAGGAGGAAAATACCACGGTATTGACGAGCGTTGCATCATCGGAACGTGTTCTTCTGTGTCCCGGTACTCGTCCCGTTGAAAGTCGTTCCACTCGCTGCCCAGCCTAAAAAAAATTTTTTTAGAGCGTATTTCGAAACTTTGTTCCTCACATTCAATGCCCCAGCAGTCAGCAGGTTTTTGTCAATGAGAGGCTCGCGTCCATTCGGGTACATCTATATAAAAATAAAATAAAATAGCTACAAAATTACCTTAGACATTGCGATGGTGAAAGCGAGAAGTGTCTTCATTTCAGGGCGATCCTCGGGCTCGTTGGACCAGGACCTGAAAAAAAGGAAAAGGGAATTTCGTCATCGGTACTGCCAATGCGCATTTGCGCAATATTTCGCAGTTTCGACTCACTTTTGCATCAATTTCTTCAGTATCGGATGGCATTTCACATCAACCGGTCGATAGTTGGCCGTTGATATGTTGTAGAGAAGGGCTATCCTTTCCAGGGCATCATACGGGTTCCTGCAAGAACGATTACAATGTATTTAGCATTTAATCACCTCCTAGCTACCATTTGCCACATAATGATTGCCATGCTGTAGACATCGCATGGCGGGCCGTATTTTCTTCCTTTGAAGACCTATAATTATACTTTAGTTTCAAATTGTTCATATTTCCAACCTCTGGCGCCATATATGCCGACGATCCCACGCAATTAGTCATAGTTTTTCGGATAGAAATTACGGTACCAAAGTCACATAACTTTAGGTCGAGATAGCGATCCCTTAGTAATAGGTTCAGGGGTTTCAAATCCCTAAAAATAGTATATGTAGTAACCCCTAAACCCCTAAAAAATTATATATAGGGCATGCTCAAGGAACTTACCTATGGACCAATCCATTTGAATGCATATAGACCATGGCATCACACGTTTGTCGCAACCACGAGAAGACATGATCAATTTTGTACTCGAGATGGCGTTCTCGTAACAACACTAGAGAAATGAATTTGAACTGTATTAAAACTGCTATTACGATTGTCCAGACTGCCGCAATCCATGTATTCCATCACAAAGCCGAGCGCTGTCGAGTGTTCGTAGAGGCCGTACCTAATCTACGAATTGTTGTCACACCAAACGACTGACCATTTGATGATGTTTGCGTGCGCCGACCCATATTTATACAACATCGAGCATTCCTTGAGCAAATTCCTCCTCCCCACTTCATCAAGCGCTAATTTTATGGCAACTTCTCTATATAATAAAAGTACAGCTATATTTTCCTGTAAAGTACCCGTGGATCTGATGGTTTCCTCGAAAGACTTCTCCAAACGATCCGGTCCCCAGTTTGTGCTGTGGGTGAATGTCCAATTGTCGGTTGTCGATCTTGGGCAACACACGCTCTCCTGCAATATACTCTTTTTTCTGTGTGTTTTGGCCTACTTGTGATTGTGTTGTCTAACTCCGCATCCACAGGAACAATTCCGCTGCCGGAAGGGCCCGGTTGGTCCGCGAACGCCATTCTGAACACAAGCAGATATTTTTCTAGAAGTTTTGTCAAATGAACAAAGAATTGAAAACTTGGTAATTCTCTTTCTATTAGTGTTAATTTTTTTGAATAGGTGGGTCAAAGTTGAATTCTTGTTCTCAAGAACATCTGTCATTGTTGTGCTCGGAGGAGGCCACAATCAGTCATTATTCTTTCCGTGACTGCCCGCTATCCTCCTTTCCTTTATTTCAAACCCCCCAAATGACTCCCAATAAAATAAAAATAATAGTTTTTGGCTCAGTTTTTTTGGTCATACAAACGAATAAACAAATTTTTCCGTTCGGGAAGCCTTTACCTCGCGTTTCCCATACCCGACGCGAAAATCCAAACAACGCTACACACCACTGCTCTGCACACTCTCATTGGTGAATCGATGGCGCCGCTTCGGGCACTCCTTTTCAATTTATTTTTCGTTCAAATTTCGTCTTTACTCGCTAGCGTTTTTTTGTAGTCATAAATTTGCGTGAATATCTCGCCGAAGGCCCACCAATTACTTCTCAGCAACCTCCTAGCTACCCACCTTACGAAACCTTGAAAAGCGTTCGCTGCCAAGAGCCCTTCCCCGGCACGACTTTAGAAATTTTCTGTATGCCATTATTTTGCCAGCGCATCTATCTCGCAACCAATATTTTACATGTTATCCGTGAGCTCTTCTTTCATTACGTTTATACCACTAATAATTAACTTCTTTATAGGTAGACGTGAAAGATGAAGCGTCATGGTGCTGAAGGCGGTGACTACCCTCGTGGCAGCAACACCAAGCGCCAACGTGTAGGTTCATTAGTTTTTTGCCGAACTGTGTTCTTTAGGGTGATGGTTATGCCGAAGCATTGGCCGCTGGAAAATTCGAGTTGCGCTTTTTGGTCTCGTCGAAGAGTGCTGGTGCTGTGATTGGAAAAGGCGGCGACAACATCAAGCGCCTCCGATCGCAGGTATATTTTATTCTTGTTTATTTGTATTCTGTCAGAATTGATAGCAGGTCCTTTGCTCTGCTCTTTACAAGCGCTTAAATTTTGTGCCGCAATTTCCAAAAGCTCCTTGTTCCTGTTGTGATATTGAACTAGCCCGATTCCTGTCCGAACCCAGTCCAAACGACCTCGAGCAGCCTTTCGTTTACGACTAGCCGAAGATGAAAACATGTTTTTGCAGACCCTGCCCAATATGACCCTTTCAGTTCGATGCCAACGTCTCTGTCCCCGATAGCCAGGCCCCCGAGCGGTAATTTTTCCGCCCTTTGATGAAGCCCCACTGGTCCAATGAAATGAACGGATTTATTGGCCCGGCCCAAATATCCGCCCGCACCAACAACTGGTGCCCCAATGGCCCTTTCACTACCCCTGTGGCGACCGGTATTTTTGGACCCAAGACCAACCGCCACTCTTGCTTAATTTACCTGTTCAAATTTTTTATTTATTTACCGTTTTAATCCCGCGTTTAGTGTGCTGACGATGATCACTTCATTCGAGAACATCTTGCCCATTTCTCAGGACGTGCTTCCGAAACTTGAGGAGGTGAAGATTTTTCGTATTCCTCTAATTCCATTTTAGCAACCAACTGAAGGCAAACGTGAAGCGAAGATGTTGGTCCACATGTCTCACGCTGGTGCTATCATCGGCAAGGCTGGATCTAAGATCAAGGAACTGCGTGATGAAACTGGCTGCAATATTAAGGTTACATAGGTTTATTATCAGACTAACCCTACATTTAGGTCTTTTCGGAATGCGCGCCTCAATCGACGGATCGCTGTGTCCAGATCACTGGCCCAGAGCAAAGTCTTCCTGGGGCTGTTAAAGCTATCGTCGAGCTGGTCAAAGGGATCCCCATCAAGGGAGCCACCCGCCAATACGACCCGACCAATTACGACCCAATGCTTGCAGCTGAATACGGCGGTATATATGTTCGCATAGCTTCTTTACCCACCTTTAGGACACCCTCTTGGTGATCGCTCTGGTGGACCTCCGATGCGAGCCGGTGGTGGTGGTGGCGGTCGCTTCAACGGTGGCCCCATGGGCGGACCTCGCGGTGCTGGTGGTCCGATGAGGGGAGGACAATTGGGAGCGATGGGAGATTTTGGTATGACATTGTCTCTTTTCTTCAACAAGTAAATTTGGGTCGTGGAACACCGATGATGGGCGCACCTTTTTCTGGTGGTCCGATGCAGGCGGCGCCAATGGGCATGGCGGCCCCGATGGCAAATTACGGACAAGCCGGATACGCGCAGGCGACTCCATTGGCCGCGGCTGGCCCAGGCAGTGCGAACCCCTTTGCAAAGACACAGGTTCGAAATAGTTCCTTTCTTCGAGTCTCGTTTAGCAAGTCACAATCCCCACCGAATTGGGCGGCACGATCATCGGACGTGGTGGTGAACGGATCAATCGCATCCGCGACGATTCCGGTGCCCATATCGTCCTTGAGCCAACTCAGCCTGGTCAGGAAGAGAGAATCATCACCATCTCTGGCACCGAGCAGCAAATCCACATGGCCCAATACCTCTTGCAGCAATGGTAAATCTTTGAATTATTGATTCTCGGCACGTTTTAAGAGCCTTTTGCACTGGTTTTCTTGTAGCTTGTGGCTGCCGTTTTGGTTAGCAACTTGCTTTTGAGAAATTCCATTAGTGCTTAGGGTGTCATAAATGTGCAAAATTGAATTGTACCTATGCTGAAAATGCAATTAGAAGCGACAACGCCTCTGTCGATATCTATTTGTAGCAACGGGGTCAGACACTTTTCTCCTCTGTATACTAGGGCTTACTAGTTAGTAGATTTATTAATTTATATTATATATTTTTTTTATCATCCTGTTTTAGTGTTCGCTCATCGTTGCCGCAACAGGGTGGCGCCACTGGACCCGGTGGTCCTGGCATGCGTGAGATGCGTGGTCCGATTGGAGGACGTTTCCGTTAATTTATTTGTCCCTACCTCTGACCGACCATGTCCTTGAATTTTCCGTTCCAATTTCCCCTGATCTTTGCTACTTTGTCCTCTCAATCAAGCCTCCGGGCTTTTCTTTATCACTAGCAGGTGATCCTTACGCCAAATGGTCTCGTTCGGACAAGTTGTCAAGTTTTCCACATTCTTGTTGTTTGATCAATAAAACTTACATTTCGAATATTGCAATATCAGCCATCAGTGAACGTTTCAATAGTAATTACATTATACACCATAAGAGAGAAACATTTTGATATCTAGGCCGCGCGTGCGTGGAATGCCAAGCTACAAGGTCGCGGACAGCGAGGTTTCGGCAAGACTGATGAAGCCGGAACAGAAGCCTGAACCGGAAGTATCTTCGACTATAAATACTCCAAGGACTTGCTCGGGATGGCTGAAGTTGATCGTTTTCTACATGGTCTTCTATTCGTTTCTCGCGATGTTCACATTGACCTATTGGTCTTTCTACATGCGGACGGTGGATTTACGACACCCGCGCTACTACGGCAAGGATTCGATAATAGGCGTGCTGCCCGGCGTCGGCTACCAGCCATGGTTAAAAGAAAAGCCGGATTCATCAAGAATCGAGTACGACACCCGAGATAACAGCACGTATGCCCCATATGTGACTCAATTGAGCAGCTACTTGCAAAAATACAGTGACACGATCGATACGCGCGTTTGTACCCTGGATGATATTCATAAAGGTATTTATTTTATATAGTTGCTAATACTTTGCTCAGGTGATTCTTCGAAAAACATCAGCGCCCAACTACCCTGCCGTTTTGACCTCGCTGCCTTCGAAGAAGCCGGGTGCTCGGCTTCGAACAACTACGGTTACATGTCTGGGACCCCCTGCGTCGCCATCAGTTTGAATCGTCTACTTGGTTGGAAGCCAACAGCTTACCACCCTGGCCACATTCCAAGAGAGGTTTTTGGCCGCTACCATCCGGGATCCGTTGCCATCCACTGCAAGGAAGCTAAGACGGATAACAAGACACGGAACTTCAAGGACGTTTTGTATATCCCCCCGCACGGCATCGATGGGCGCTTCTATCCCTATACCGTCGTCCACAACTACCACCAGCCGATCGCCATGGTCCGATTCTCCAATGTAACTAGAAATAGGTATACTTGCTGCTACCTAAGCAATTGTTTTTTTAGGCTCGTTACGATTGATTGCAAGGCTTATGCGGGGAACATCGTTCATGACCTTCCGACGCGTCTTGGGCTGGTTCGGTTCGAATTGCTGATCCACGACACGGTCGTTGCCAAAAATACCACGGTTGTTATGAAGAATGACGCGCCTGTTGTGGAAAATGCAACGCATACGACAGCGCATTAGCTCATCTTTTTGTGTCCGAAGTTAATTGTTACCTTTGTATCTTCTAGCTTGCGTAGCCTTTTTTTGTACATTCCATTATGCCTTTCTTCGGACGTGATTTTTAGATCGGGTTGGGTTTACCGTTTGTGTGAATAAACGCATAGATCTCTTACATACCAAGCCATCATGCCATGCCTGTCAACATCGGGGTTCCAAAAAATTTATTGTGAATGTGTAATAGTACCTGACATTGGTGCGTGCCTTTGCGCTTAACATATATCAGAAATAGGGTCATTTACACATTTACTCTTACAGATAGCTTTTTTACTTTGTAATCTGAGATCCGGAAACATCTAGCAAGTATGCTCAGACACTAGCGAAACTGTGTTCTCACAAATCGTCACTTTTAGATCCCTAGCATCAGTGCGTTTAAAGAAACCAAACTTTTGACCGTTGTCTTGCGATGTGACTAGAAAATCATTGCCCAGTGCATTGTCTTCCCATATCCACTCGCTAAGTTCATACAACCCTAGATTGATTTCTATCTTATCTATGTCCCTTTGACCGGAAACCCACTGATGGAACAGGGCGCGTACAAATTCCGTAATGCCTTCTGGTAAGGAATTCTGTGGATTAATGAACTGAAGCCGGATCGTCGAACATTTCATTTTTAAAATGTCGTTAAATGTTCCGCTGCCTATTATGAGGAGGCTAATTTCTTTTACGGACTCATTAATCAGATTGACTAGTGTTTCCCCCTGTTTGAAATTATGCGTGTCTTTACGGTAGTCCAAGATGGTAGGTCTGGTACTGGCCAGGAGCGATGGCAAGTGCTCATCATGCAGAAATTTCCAGACCTCTAGGACATCGACGTTTAAATCTTTGATGGGAGTCGGAGCGACGCGACACTAGAACTTTATTTTTTTGTTAGCCCAGCCTAATAACGTAGATAGATTAGAATGAACTTAATCTTATCCTTGGAATTTTCCTTATTGTTAGAGTTACATGCGCAGCTGAATTAAACTGACCTGATAAACAAGCTTGTCTACAGTAGCCTTTTGTAGTAATAGCTGCGCTGAAGCAACTGGGATCTTCGAAAATCCATCAACGGAAACGGATTTTTCGCCCCAGACCACGCGCTTCCAGGACTTTTTAGAAAGCCGTAGTGTAGAATATAGCGCTTTGTTACTGATGGCTAGTCGCATTAGTGACCGCAGGTCGAGATTTTTCATCACTGTTGCATGGATAGCTTCCGGGAAGTCGGCGAAGCCCATGCCGTCTAGGGTTAGGATGCATGTAAAAGCCATACTAGTACTGCTAGAGCTAGGGAATGAAAACTAACATCTACACATGGATGGCGCAACGTAGTAGCTAAATTTTTATTAATCAAGAACATAAGATAGAACAAATGTATCGATAATCCACCATTATCCGGGCCGAAAGGGAGGGCAAGAGAAGGCGGATATACGAGTACGGAGACACGGGTAATTACAACACTAATATCACCGGTATTCGATCAAGTCCGATGGAGGACGGCCGCAGCAAAACGGAATTAGCGTTCGGAAACGGAGCGTTGTGTAAGGCGTGACGGGGTCGGGACGATTTGCCGACTCTCAAGGAACGCCTGGGAGGCCCCGCAGAAAAGCAAGAAGCTATTGTCCATAATGTCTGGGGTGTCGCGTCGACTGGTGCAAGGCGGGCGGAGAGTAGCACACTGAATTCACTAGGGCCTGCGAGTTGGATGCGAGTCTGGGAGGGTATAGGGTTTGTTGGAAAAGATGGAAGTATTAAGAGAGAAAGACAAGCAAAAAGGATACTGGAATATGAGTAGATACATCAAAGGTCAATCAGGGCACCGTGACGTCATCAGCATGACGGGGGCACCGAATCGATGGTCGTCACTGAGGTGCCCTTGTCGAATTGGTTCACTAAAAAAGGGTTAGTAACTAGAATATCACGAGAATTCCTACCAATATCAGTGACGAGCTGTGGATGCTGCCTGAGCACGGCTTCCCATCCAATCGTTGACGTGATTTGCTTGGGACGATGTAGGATATACTGAAAAGCGTGTAACCCATTTTTTTCTGTGAAACCTGGACAGCTCGTTTCCGTAGCCATTTGGCCCCATACATGTCCCCAAGGATGAGCATTTCGCAGGCATTATCGATTTGGATTTGCTCGACGAGTGTCTAGACAGGCAGGGGATTAAGAGGATCCGGTTTCTACTAAACCTTTTCACAGTGCGTCTTCAGCTCATCCAAGCGATACTTGTCGGCGGCAATGAGCAGGTCTGACGCTGAAAACAAATAAAATATTCCGGATACGGTTTGTGGGATTACCAATGTGGTTGATGTCTTTGCTGCAACGGCCGCAATAAATATAATTCAGCATCTCGACGACCACATCGTATTCCAGGTCTGGGATCTCGAGGATGGCCTGAAAAAAGTCTATGACGCAGAATATAAATTCATACCGTTTTCGCTTCGTTAGTTTGGTCGTGTGTAAGCATTGCGCAGAATACCGGTGACCGAGCAGCCAGAATCGCTCTATGCGCCCGCACCTCTCGACCGCTGACCTGAAAATGGGAAATTCATATAATAATAATAATAATTAAAATAAGCACACCTTTATAACGAAATCCGTCAATAATTCATCGCGGAAGATCTTCAGATAGTCGTCAAACAACTGTTGCTCCATATTCACAACCTAAAGAAACTTCCTTTAGTAAAATAAAAATGTTCCTTTAAGATTTTCAAAATTAGAAAAATGTATTCGTATTTTCTGACGCCATTCGCATATGGCGTAGACGTAAATCGTAACGAGTATCGTTTGCTATTCGCTTGCACACTGGGGCAATCATTTTCGGATCGAAAAACGTTGCTGTTGTGCAGCGGCCGGGGGTCGAACCCGGGCTGTCAGGGCGGCGCTCGCCCTCGCTAACCACTAGGCTACGGAGGACCCACACTGTGCTGTTCGGTGTTGGTAGTTATCGTTTCCACGGCCACGTCAATTTCGACTTGAACCACGATGAGATCGCGGGGGAGGATTTGAGGGAAGAGGACATCACGCTGAAAATAATAATTATTATATTTTGCTGTCTTTTTGTGATCCAGACTACATTTTTTTCGCAAAACATCTGCTAGGAGCCTTTTAGAGCCTTTTATAATTTACCTTTATATATGAAACATAGTCGGAATGTGACGGATTGGGGTGAATTCGCATCTCGATATCCTTATTCTCAGCCGAACGAAGCGTAAAGCGCGATTTGAACCCAATCTTCGATGATTTACCCGTATTGATCTAAATCACATGTATTAAAAAATGCGAGAGAACTTACGATTCGATTCAAGCATAAAAACACGAAATCCTTGTTATTCTCTCCATTTCCCTTTGGATAAATCTTTATGCTCCAAGTATGCTGCTCGTCTCCCCTGAAATTAAAGGTGCTTTAGGAATAGAGAGAAGTACGACGAACCTCGTCAAATGTACAAAGTTCTCCAAGTATTCCTGATAACAATGGGAAAAGTTTTTCACCGTCCAAGAATGTGTGACGTTCTGAAAAGCAGGATTGGATGTTACAGAGGGCTATTTGCGTTTTGTCGAAAATTAGAATGTCGAAACTAATTTTATCCCAATTTCTGTTTGGCGACATTAAATTTATCTAAATCCTGGAAACCCGGTCGTTAATTCTCCATCACTAAACAGGTTATTCTGGCGCAGTGAACAATCTGGATTTTTTACATAGTGAAATTTTAGTTGCAGATTTTAATTCAATTTCGATATTATGTTTTTCGGCATTCTGATATCAAACGATTAAACGAGACACTCAGCAAGGTACTTTGCCTCTTTCATGACATAATTAAAATACACCCACCTCCACTTTAATCTCTGTCTGCGATGAGTGGGCCATATGCGTCAACACAGACGAGTCGATTGGGGTGCACTGATCATTGTTCGTCGAGGGCTCCATCCCGTTCGGAGGCACCGGCTGAGACGCGGCGGGGTTTTATTGGGCGATGGGTAAGGAGCGGAAGTTCCACCAGGCAGATACCCTGTAATCCAAACATCAGAGGGGCGGGAGCACGAGCGAGAGACAGGAGGACATGAATGATAACAGAGGCGAACGAGGGGTAGAGAAGTTTGGCATGGATCGAAAGAACTTGGAAAGATAATAGATGTGTAAAAAGCGGTGATAGCTCTGGCTAGGCCGATAATTAGCAAGACCTTGGAATAAAGTATGTCAAAAAGGGTGAGAATGCTCGCTACAAGGCCAATAGTCGCAGCGAGCGCTAGAAAATCAAAGTCCAAATCATCCCCAACCGGGAAAAGGAAACGCCTGCAAAATAGCTGTCTGATTTTTAGAGTTATCATGCGGCAAGGTGTTTCATCGTCAATAAACCCATCCAAAACTACACCCGTCATGCTATCTTCTAGCGGGTACCCAGGGGACGAACTATAAGTCTGACCAAAATACACAGAATCAGAAAAGAGACCCCCCGAGCGAGCAAAGATCGTGGACAACTCAATTTCGGCCCGCATCCAGATAACATCAAAGGCAGCCCAGAAATGGAAGAAGATAGAAAACAGGGCGCAGACAGACGTTGATCAGCTGTCGATGGTTGACGATGTTAGGCGGGTTGTGGGTGTTGAGGGGGGGCGAAAGGGGCAAGTGCCGGGGTCTCGTGTGTCTCGCCCCATCGATCGCTGCTCGCCCCCATGGACTGGATGGGGTGGGGGTATTGTGACATTGGGCACGTCCCCTGTGCTTTCAAGCCGCGCAGACGTTCCATCGGGTTTTTTTGGGGGCTAAAGCTGTCAGATAATAATACCATAGTTCTGGAAAGGGTAGGGTTCTCAACCTAGAAATTTACGCCCTAGTTTGCAAGAATTTGGAGCAAGGTTCAGTAAGTACGTTCGTAAAATTTTACATTCTGACCCAGAAGTGCGGGATAACAGGCGGTTACTGTAATAAAAGTATTTAATAAAACTATCCTCCCCAGCCGCAAAAAAACCTAATCTAGATCTTCACTCCCTGATCATCATAAATTTCGGAATATGGGTCAGTAAGTACGTTGACAAGAGCCAACCGTACACCCCAAAAAGTACGGAATAACACAGGCGGTTACTGTAACAAAGCCTTGGTACTCGATGCCACAAATCCCGAAACTGAACCCAAAATCGCAAGAACCAGGCCTTCATTCATGGCCTCCGGAAGGATAAGGCGGATTTGTCTTATATATGTCTGCGATGGCTATAAGCAGAAATTGTAATCAAAAACCAGGCCATTACTAAAAAAGGGGAAGATGACAAATCCCGCCCTTGATTCGCGCGCGAAGCCCACAAGCTATAGTAATTCTCGGTACAATCGACCCACACCTGTTCGAAAACACTGTTCGAAAACACCTGTTCGAAAATCACTGTTCGAAAACACTATTCGAAAAACACGCGAAAAGCACCGCGAAAAGACACCTTCGAAAATGCCGTTCGAAAACCATGTGTTCGAAAATGGTCATTTTTGGTACCATTTCTAGGCAATTCCACATGCAAATTTTTCGAACAGATGATTTTTCGAACAGGTGTCTTTTCGAACAGGTGATTTTCGAATACATGATTTTCGAACAGCTGGTTTTCGAACAGATGGTTTTCGAATAGGTGATTTTCGAACAGGTGATTTTCGAACAGATGATCGGCCACCCACGTATCCGCCCATGGTCCCCCCCCTGCCAAACATCAACCGAGACAGAAAATGATTCACGTGTTGGGGGAATCGTATGGACAGCTATTCTGACGCGCGCGAGGTGCTGCAAGCGTTCAGCCACGCTGATGGGTCACACTCCAACGTGCGAGAAGCAGTCTGGTAGAAAAATAGGGGAAAGCCGTAGCCATTTTCGATGTTAGGCGCGTGGATTTAATCAATAATAGTTTTAACAAAGCATTTGACTGACTTATTTGAAGTTGTCGCTCACTTGCTATTTGGCGGCGTAAGGCAAGCAGAGAAAGGCGCAGCACAAATCAATGTGCTAAGCTCGAATCGCCCCGGCGATGTGGTATCTTATCGGAACCTGCCATTTACTTTGGCCAAATTCGATCGCACGTCCTAGAGAAATCCGCGTTCTGCGTGGCAGACAATCATGACACGTAATCTCGACATCGTATCAACTAAAATAATTTCTTCTCAGAATCGAATATTTTCTTCTTGGTCATCGACCATCCACATAAATAGGCAATAGGAAAGCGATTAATCTTTATCCAATGTTATCGTATCTGAAAGTAACAATCATTCGAAACCACACGAGTCGACTCGATATACTAGAACAACGCATGGTCAACAAGGAGCAAAATCATAATATCGGCAAATAAGGGATGGCAGGGGGAATCACATATTTAGACCCGGAGAGATTTAAAGAAACTATAACAAAGAATAAATAATAAAAAAGACGTTATCTAAGCCCGTAAGTTTAAACTATGACTTAGAATTTCGAAGCTTCGGCAGTATAACTTGATTGTATTTGGAGACAAGAAGAGAGGAACGGGGAGTTATTAGACTTATCGATTAGCATAACAATGCAACGTGTTTAAAGTATAGTGGGTTTACTTTGCGCATGGCGTCAACGGGCATCCTTGAAGGGGAATGCTTTCTTGCCGGAGTATCCGTTTATTCCTGGGCCGGTTTCCTAAAAATGGGGTAATGACCAATTCTGATGCGAAAATCTTACTTGTTTTGGTTTTAGCTTCTTTTTGCTGGTGACAAGCGAGAAGCCCTCTTCGACCTCTTCGGAGTTAGCGGTACCATCTGAGGCGCGTGAAAAACCTCCTGCTCGGCCGGATTCCTCTGATTCGGCTAGAATGGCCGCTGCTTTCGGATCTGGATCTTCGTTGGCCGAACGCTGGGTTTCCGTATTGGCGGTAGAAAGGGCTTCCTTAAAATAATGATCAAATATTCGGAAAGATCTCTCACAGCTGTTTCTTTCTCATTTTCCGTTGGCGGCTTCTCAATCTTTTTGGGAGCGGAAAAGGCCAGACGTCTGGACACGCGCATGTTATCGGCAAGTCTAAAAAATTGCAATAGCAAAAAAGATTATTGAAGCGTACCTCTTCAAATAATCCTTTTTTGTTGGTGACACCAAGACGAAAGCTGGATCGACTTGCGGCTCTTCAAGCTTGTCAATGTCCGAATGTTTAAAGGTGTATCCCTGGAATTGAAAAAAATGGGGGCGATATGGGATACGTACCTTCAGCCAGAGGCGATACGTATACTGCGACTGTGAAATGGTCAGTAGTCCGCCCATCATCGATCCCGTGTAGTGTTTTCCCCATGCGGTTTTGTTGACTAGCTCACTGAACAAGGAGAATTTAAATACCAACTGAACACTTACGGCACAACGATCGACTTGAGGATGATGAGCGCCCGTTCGAAGGCAGCGCGAACCACGAGAATGTTGTAAGAAGATCGGCAAACATCATTTTCTGAAAAGCGTCAATTTGAGATTCGCAAGGACAGAGCGCGGCAAATGTCTTAGTCAGAAACCAGTCAAAAAGGAAGGGGTGCTGCCGACAGTTGTACCAGCTGGGCTGTCCCCGCAAACACCTGGTCCTGCACGCGCAAAGCCGGCCAATGGGGCTTTGTTTCCGCAATCATGGTCAACCTCGATAAAAGAAAAGGAAAGAGTGGCAGGTGTCGGCAAAGAGGTTGTTCGTGAGCAGGCTTTGGATTCTAGGCGAAAAGCATATACCACAAATTTTGGAAATCCAGAAATTCAAAATTTCGTTACAATTTTTGGTCTTGGAGCTTTTCTCCAAAATATAAAGATTCCAAGATTCCCGATCCGTTTGCAAAATCACCTGGCAATAGCGGATCTTCCAAGTACAGATAGCCCGCTCGCCTCATGTCTCCTTCCTTACGCACATAGCACGCATCTTTCACCCGAATGCCCACGTCCGTGTAGTTGAATTCTTGCCCAAAGATCTAAAAAAAAATAGAATTTTGCCTAAAAATTGCAAAAGTACCTCCAGAAAATGCATGAGTAGCAATCCGAGATTGATGGATTGATCCTCAGCGGGTAGCCCACGAAGGTCATCATAGTTTGTCTGAAAAAATGGTAACATTTGGTTGAAGTAGCGCATGGATTTTCAAGAACTGGCATGTCCGGGGGTTTAACCGAAAAGGTAGGCGGTGGTGGGCAATGGTCAGACTATATCCTAGTGAGTTCAGCGCGACCCAGACACGTCACATCGTTGCTGGGTGGCCTCTCTGGGCTTGCAGCCGTCAGCCCTCTTCCCATTGGGCACAAACAGCCCCAAACACCATTGACCAACCACCAGGGGCGAGCACAGCGCGAACGTGTATGGGGAGCGCTGCTTGAATGTAGTTTGTTCCATTTTACCGCAAGACATACAAATGATGGCAGGAGGGTACCTCCTCTGACCAGAAAAAATGTACTTCTAGACGGGACCAAAACGCGGAAAAAATTATACGTGGTGGGAGGACCTGTATTGACCCCGTTTTGGCGAATGACCCCATCAACAAAAAAATAATTAAAAATATCATCATCATTCTAGAAAAACCCAAGTTTCAGCATTCAAAATCGAAACATTTTTGTTATCAAGTTTTTAGGCGTTTCGTACCTGGATAAATCAAAGAAAAAACTAATAAGATTTCCAAAAAAAAGTTTGCCTGGCCTTGGACAATTTCGTGGGGGAGAACAAACCTGCAAAAATTGCTGCAGCAACAAAATCAGCCCGTATGACGAAAGTCCGCCGGTGTAGGCCAGGTTGAGCCTCCTCTCACTGAGGAACTGCTTGAGCACGAATAACAATGGCTCGAGCACGGGGAACTCCTTCTTCAGCTAAAAAATTAGAGTAAAAATGCGAGCCGCCAAAACCCACCTCCTCGATGTAGTTGGCCGCCTTGACGCCTTGTCGTGTGTTGAACGAAATGTCGATGCTGATTCTGGTGTCCCCGTCTTGTACCTTGAATACACAGCTTGAACAAAACAAGGCTTTTGTGTTACCTTGATGACTGGAACTGGAGTATCAACCAGGGTCATGACGTCCAAAAAACTGTCATCGTCTTGGAAGAGTTTTGCCGTGTCCTGGAAATGCAGAATATTTATTGAACAAATAGGCTATTGCTGCAAATACTAAACCTCACCTGCAAGATACACGGAGGGCCATCACTCTCTTGGTCATATTCCACAAGTACGTCGATATCGGAATTAATAAGGAATAGCCGGGTCTGTAGACTTCCAAACTTAGAGACACGTAAACCGGCAAGGCCATCCCATCGTCTCTTGATCATATTGGCCACCTAAAGTAACGACATTAATAGACCTTCAGTGCGATACCCTGTCAAAGACGTTACAGCGAGCTCGGTACTCTATCTCCGTAGGTCGCAACCATCGCCAACAATCCATCAATTCCTCGTGAAGACTAAATCATAAATGAGCTGCAAGAAAACTAACTTACCCCTCCATGGACAGACGATATGGGCGCTTCATCCAAGGTGCGTAGACGATGTTGTAGCCAAAATATCTAAAGAAAAACTTTGTAATCTAGCTGAAAAACCGTACGTTTGCTGTGCTTCCATCACAGGGGAATTTGACGTGGAGGCTGCATCACCAGAAAGATTCCAGCGCTGTAGTGCTGACGAAGTAGACGGCTCCTGCCCACACCGAGTCATCTCCGGACCCTGAAAATTTATTATCAACAACGGTTCATAACGATTGAAGGCTACGAGAACAACTTGCAAATGAACGTAAAAATCAACAATGAGAACAAATACAACAAATAACAATCATTTCGCGGTACTTTCGAGACGGCGGCGCTTATCGGCGAGCTTGCTTGCTTCTCCACGACGACGCTTGATTCCCTTGGTAAGTTTGTCGTAAACTCGGACGTGTTTCTTCTTCAACATCAACTCGCGCATCTTCTTATCCTCGCCCTTTTGATTGATGACTTGTTGCTTGTTCTTCTTGTGCATCTTTCCAGAGACGACTTCCATCTTCTTTTCCTTGGGCTCGGCCTTGGCCTTTGGCTTCGCAGCCGTCGCGCCAGAAGCTTGCGGCTGGATGGTTAGATTGTCCACATCCTCGCCAAGACTGCGAAGTTCCTCGATACGCTCAATCGGAATGTAATCGCCCGGTCTCTCCTTGACGAACGGACTAAAATGCGGTGGCAGAGTCTCTCCGGGCAGATAGGGTTTCGTCGGCAATTTTCTGCGCGCGTTCAACGAGTCAAAGACCCATTGGGGCTGGACGTAGATACGGTTGACGTCAACATTCGTCATCGGACGATCGACAATGTGATGTGTGATGCCCGTCAGCTCAACCGGAGCATTTTCCCAAGTCGCCTTGCCACCGCAATTTCTCACGACCAAAGCGATCGCTTCCTTCGGGCATTCGCGGTTGATGAAAAATGTACACCCTTGGAAAAGCGTGCGGATGCGCTTAGCCTCCTTCAGTCGCGAAACCGAATCGTCCTCATCGTCACCATCCAAAATTTCGTCCTCCTCATCATTGCCGGGTTCCTCTTTGCGAGCAATAGGACGACAAAGTGAGTAAACCTTGTCCAAATCCTCCTCAGCATTCGTTTCCATGGCGGCCTTGGGCGACTGGATTGTCGGTGGGTAGTAGAGACCCAACATCTGATACAAACGGTAATTGACGAAGCCCATCATGGCGACGTAGAACTCGGCAAAAACGGCCATCAGTGAAAAATCGACGTGGTGGGCCGTCTCAAATCCGCGCTCGTGCGGCACAATCCAGGTAATTTTCTCGCCGCAGATGATCGCCTGGTAGTAGATGCCCTTCAGCGAGATGAACGTATTCGTCAAGGAATGAGATTCGATGACGTAGTGCATGAACTCGGTTGTAAGGCGCTTGCACTCGGAAATCGTCTCCGATCGAATGAGCTTCGTGTGCGGCAAACGGGCGAAAAGGAACCCGAGGCACAGAGCATCGTCGAGATCACGGAGTGCAGATCCAAACGTCGGGTACCGTTCCTTGACAATAATATCCAACGAGTAGATAGGGCGGTTCTCGAACAACTTCTTCACCTTATCATCTTCTTGTTTAGCTTTGTAGTGGTTCAGCTTGCGCAGGAAAATCTTTTGCTCGCGGAATTTGTTGATGATGGGCTCCTGCATCAAGAAGTTGATGTCCTTGACGTAGTACCACACTTTGCTCTCATTGCTACCCTTGTTGACGGTCTTTTTGTGAAGGGGTTCGTGAGGGTGGATGCCCTTGAGGATGCATAGGCGACGGAAATCCTTCAGCGACAACTGCAGCTTTTTGATCGCCTTGGTGCGAGACACGTAGTTGGTCACGGCTCCGGTGGTGCCCTTCTTCTTTATCCTCATCTTCACTATTTACCTAGATTGAAATTTAGATGATTCCCGCAACTCCACCAGCACTGACATAATATCGAGAGCGAAAAATTGAAAGAACAAGACGTTTGAAAGCAGTATTTATCATCAAGATACACGTATCACCGCAAGACAGAGATTATCTAAAAGCGAAGCAATGACCGGCAAGGTTTTTAGTAGTCATCGTCCGAATCGAGAGCTGCACGACGGCGATCAAACTGAAAAAAAAGCATGTAAATACGTATAAAAATCGACGAATACCTTTACAGTGGTGGTGCGCGATGTTTGTTCAGAGACCTTCTCTAAAAGACTTTTCAACGCATCATCACTCATTTTTCCAGCGAGTTGGCCACGCCTAAAACAATAGTTTTACAAGGAGACACAAGTTACGGTCGTAACCATCGCTCGCACTACATGGAATGGCAGTAAAATAACACTAAAACACTTACCGCGCCATATTAATAATCGTCTGTTCCACCATTTTTGCCTTTTCGGGCTTCGCAGCCGCCAAGTTCGTCAATCGTACTAGCGCGGCTTGGTCGAGAATCTAATTATAGGGTGCAAAACCTAATTCAGTAGTACCTGAGATAGCATTTGATTCACAGCATTCTCCTGCTTTTCGGCCATCTCGCGAGCTTTTTGCGGATCCTGTGATGGCCCCTAAAGAACTTTTAAAAAAATAAATAATCGAGTCAAACCTGGCCCGGTGCTCCTTGTGGATTCATGTTCGCGTCTGAAAACCACCCAATAGATCACTCCGAAAATCAAATTCCCAAGGTAGAGCTCTTGGCCAGAATAAGGTACGCCACAACATAGATGGACTGTCGTACAAATGGCATAAAATTTATCTTTGAAAAGGTATCACAATTTCGCTGCACGCCGGTAGGGATTAAAACATTAGAGGTGCGAATTGCCCAAACAATTGTACCACAATGCATAGGATGATCAGTGCGATCCATGCGGACTTTAAAAATTTAGCATCACAATTGGGTTGGCACGGGCACCCTTATCCAAACAAAAATGCCGCAGTGTAATACGTCGGGAGCCAAAATTTCTCGGCCAAGGATAGAAAACAACTTTAAAGTCGGCATTACGGGATGGAACTAATGGCGCCGGGAGAGAGAGCACAGACACGCAGAGAGCACATCACACGACAGAACACAGAGAGTGAGATATTATGCCCGAAGAAGATGAAGAGACTAGCAGCTGACTATGCGAACAAGGGGTATTTACATCGTAATGACAGACGAGGGGAAAAGGCAAGAATTGTGATTGGGGTGCGACACAAATGAAATGAATTACAGCTAACCGTAGCGCAGGGTTCGTTGTTTCACGGAGAAGAAACCGGTGTCCGGAGGGTAAATCACATTTTGAGAAGTGAGAAGTAAAGTATATACAGCTGGGGAGAGATCAGTTCATAGTTGCCAATGCTCGGCAAAATCGACATAAAGGGCTTGTTCGAGGCGGGCGATGGAGGCCGAGTGGCCAAGTCGTCCGGAAAGAGCCTCGGTGTCTCGCCAGAACACTGACTTCTCCTAAATGACAATCCTCCATAATGAACCTTTAAATTTTATCTATTTTTGTCCGCTCTTTGAAAAAATTAATCTTTTGAGCTGAAATCAGATTTTTTCGGCTTTCTTGCGAATGGCGTCTGCAGAATGTCAAAAATTAGCTTTCCGGCCATTTTTGGTTTTGATACAAAGACAAAGCGTTCCAAAATCCCGATAATAGGGTGCGGTTAAATTAAATTCTTTCCCTCACCTGGTTTGACTGCCCGATCGTCTTCCCATGCATCGTTAGAGCGTAGAAGAAAGGCCGCAACTCTTCAAAAGAGGTCAGCAACTTCATCCCAGACAACGTGGCCGGGATCGCGCCCAGATCTTGTTCCGACAGCGCGCCGTACTGAAACGAATATTTCCAACAGGCACGCAAAATACCTTATGCTGGAGCCGCCGGCTGATTCGATCTGCAAACGGCATAAAGACGGAAGAGCTACCACAACTCGCAATAGACGAAACGAAAGCCCAATTGCACCTGAAAGAAAGCAAAACATTAGCCAGGCCAAAAGGAGATACATTTGGAATTGCGCAATGTAGCCGGCAGGCAAGGTGCAGAGAGCCTCGAGCAGTTTGGCGGCAGCAAGGAACAACTGCATCCATTGGTCGTCTCGGGCGCTAACCTAGAAAACATGCGACTGGCAAGAAATTCAGGATAAGTTCACCTCATCTTTGAAGCCATCTGCCGGGTCATCGGAGAGTTGCTGCTCGACTTGTAGCAAGACATGGATCTAGGGCAAGATACGGAAATCGTAGTATTGAAAATACCAGTTCTGTGACCATTGCTGGCCACATGCTAACCAATGAGTGTGGTCGGAGACGGATCAGTAGGACACGATAGCAGAGCAACACCGAAGCACGGATTGGAGGATGGGGGCAAACGCGAAGATTTTCGGCAAGGCGCTCTAGGAATTTCATTGAAAGGACTATTGTTTTAATGACCTTGGATATCGGGGAGTTGCGAGTGGTACTGATCAACTTCCGAGCCAAAGACGATGAATGCCAACCGCTTCAGGGCCTGACTGCGCGATTCGTACTCTTGCTCACGGGATTGCATCAAGCTCAGCGAAGATGGCGTGTACGAGATTGATTCTGAAGAATACAGCGTCAGAAAAATCGTAGCTCCTTACTTAGCAATTCCTTAAAAGAAGTCTTGTCGTGCGTCATCAGATGGTCGGTGACGATTAGCCATTGCTTGATTGAATGCACGTCCATGCGGAAGAAAGCTGAAATAATGGTAAATGAGAGCTAAATCAAAACGAACAAGAATCCAGCAACAATTCCAGGGTGACCTTCTTCCAGACCGGGCGCATGTAGTTGTATGATGACATGTTGGCAAGCAACTGCGATGAGGCCAGGAAAAACCGGGCATACCGAGCACTAAACGTAATAAAAGACCGACGAAAGGTTATTACTTTTTAGATTTCAGATATGGAACCACATTCGCCCAGACCGAATGCAAGGTGGGAAGAAGCCGCTCTTTATCGTCACTTTTACAGATCGAGTCGATCAGTTCAGGAAGATTCTGAAATTGCTGAATAAGATAGTAGAAAACGAGGATACCTCGGCAAGTAAGAAAAGGGCTTGAGTCGAGTGGGCCGGGTCTCTCTTGTTGTTGTTGGTGTCTTGAATCTGAAACGAAAGCTCTTCATCGAAAAATCAGGTAAAACAAACCTTCAACGAATTCCTCAACGAGCTGTTGCTTTTCTTGCTGTCCTGTAAGGTGAGAGCCGACGCGTAGGAGGAGGTTGTGCCAGACATGTTTGTCGTAGCATCAAGGGATGCCGGTCTGTAAGTGGAACGCTTTGCTATGTGAAAAAAGCATTCCTAATTACCCTGAGTATATAAAAATTAATGTCAAGATTTACAGAAAGAGCTTGGAAAATGAAACGCACCTATTTTGCATCAAACTCATTGTACTTCCTCGCGAACTTCCCAGCTCCAAGATCGGCCCGCTGCTCACCGTCTCAGTCATTGGTGAAGCATCGACTGACTGCGAGATTTTACCGACTAGAAAAAAATTATAAAAGTAGAAAATGGCATACTTGGCGTGGGCTCGGACTTGACGACCAGCGTCCTCTTCAGCCACGTCGTGGTCTCAAGCTGCCAGCCGACAATTCCATTAATGGCTTCCGTCAACCTCTGGCACGAGTCATGGACAGCTCGGCCCACCGCACGATCCTCCACGATGCACAAAGACCCAGCAATTCGCACGAAATCGCACAACATTCTAAAATAAAAGTTAAGGCCACCGAATAACAACAAACATGAATTGGAGGAAGATGGCGCGCGGTGGCAATGTTGTGAGGGACGACTCATTGAACAGCGCGTTCAGTGGCGGCCAGCAGGAGAGGGTTTGTTCCCCGTTGAGGCCACGAAGGCAGCCATGGATCAGTTCAAGCAGTGGGGCTTCGGTGGGGAACGAACTCTGCAAATAAATTTCTTTTTTTTATCAAGGTAATCCTGACCTTATCCGGAGTGGCCGTCGACGGTTTGCCAGCCTTCCCGCTTGGGTCTTTCAGTGAATCCGCCACGACAGTCAGAACAGTCTCGAAAGGCAGCGTGCGCACTTCCAACAGCAAATCAGCAACGTCGAGCTGTGCTGGCGAATAGAAGAATGAAGCCTGAATCAAGGAATGCAGTTTTAAGGGCAAAATTACCACGTCTGGTTCAGTTTTGCGCTGAGCACCAATGCTCGATCGGGTCAGCCAGACCAGCGACATCGCCTAGAAAAAAAAGTAAAGCAGTCTTTTCGGCCTGTTACCTGCAAATATTGATTCTGATGATGCTGCGCGATAGGATTCAACAATTCGATGATCAAACGGCGAAGGCGCTAAAGAATAAAAAGTAAATGACAAAAATATCAACTAACCGCTGTGGATCCAATAGGTAGAATAGGTGTCTTCCCTCGCCTGACCACTCCCCATATATCGCACAGTGTAGCCAGGGAGTGTGGCAATCCACCGAGCACTTGTTTTCGAGCTTCTTGCCAGGATACGCTTCTCGGGTCAGCTTTGGCCATCGGCACGCCGGTGGTCTAAAAACAGTGATAAGCGCGAAACTAAGAGAACTACCGTAGATGTGTCGCTGAACGTGATGGTCTTGAAGATGGATGTTATCTGCTGGATGCCAGGAATGGCATTCATCGCCTGGCCAACCATCCCAGTAGTGGCAGAGTGGCCACTGCCCGTCGAGGTTCTGAAAAATTTTGATTATCTTGCTCGTCAATATTAGCTTACCGGTTGACTTTGCTTTCATCTTGAAGCGTTGACGATGTGCAACTTCCGCTCCCGCCGACCACGCAAAAATGAATGACCGTGGTGAGAGTTTCGAAGCACTAAATACATTTGGCGAATCTCCGAGGCTGAGGTGGGCTACCGTAATCAAGTAGTTAGCCGGATAACGAGATTTTGATTGTCCGATGGCTTCACTTGGGGATCGCTCGGAAACCTGAAAAAGGATAAAATTGGAAGAGAGCTTCGTTAGTACCGTTTTCTCCATATCCGGAAAAGCTGCAACAGCGGCCACTTCAATATTTTTGCACAGCTGCTCGGTGACATGGGTACAGAACGTCGAGAGAGATCGGTCGATCCAGGGAAGAATGTGAACGACGAATTGGAGCCACGCCTGGATGTTTTACAATATAGGAAATTGTCAAAGGAGCCTGACCTCGTGTCTTTCAGGTTTATGTTTGATAGCACTCAGGACGGTAATCAAGAACATCTTCAGCTCCACCAATGGGGCCTAAAAAAGAGACAAAAAGATCAAGCCGAGATGGAAAACATACCTGGCTGTCACGCATCGTTCCTCGATTGTGTGCAGACACCGAGAAGGAATGAGTGAACGGCAGCCGATTCACCACCAACCCAGCGCTCTAAAAAACAAAAAAAAATCTATATATAAAAGAGGCTGGGTCGCACCTCATCCGTGAATTCTCGATAACCGATTTTTATGTCGTGCTCCAGTCGGATGGTGGCTGCGGTGAGGGCCAACAATGATGAATTGTATGAAGAAAGCAGTCCTAAAAAGCGAGGTCTAGATTGTCCATCTACTCCCACCTGCAATTCGTTGCCTTTTCCCTTCAGCTGCCCATCGTCCCTCGTTGAATTCGGCAATGGTGACGGAGATTGGTACGCTTCCGGAATCTGATGAGCGAGGATCATGGACGGCCGTGAGGAGAAGATGCAAAAGACATTTCTGGAGCTTGCTGCGCTGGATGATCGACTGGACGAACGTAACGAGCCCCTAAACCGAAGCTTATGCGTTGTAAAAATATTTTACCTGATTTTGTTGGGCCCTCAGCATCTCTCCCAATTCGCTCAACAGCTGGGTCAGGAAATCGAGAGCGGCCATCTGCAAGCATCCCGTGAATTTATTCTCGAGAGAAGTAAGCACCTTGCACTTCCAAGATCGGATCAGATCGTCGTCGCTGACCGGGGCAATGGGCGAATTCAGGAAATAGGAGCGGAGGAAATGGAGCGTGATGGTGAGCAACAGCTCCAGCAGGGTGAAATGCCGGCTCGATGATTTTCCATCCTCATCCGTGCCGGTTCCCCAGAATTGTTGACCAAGAATCGCCTAAATTATCGTATCGGGATTGAACTGTCAGTAATTGACCATACCTTGACGTGGCGACTCATCAACTCGACCAGTGATCCGGCGGTTGGGCTAGTGTTATCGAGGGTGGAGGTGCCAGAAGAGACGAGACAGTTCAGCAGCATTCTCGGAGGCAGAACCGGCCCGCCACGAGGATGCAGTAACGCCGTCAGGATACGGAAGGCCGATTCACAGCGTGAGAGGTCGACCAACCTCCCGGATTCACCTGAAAATACAGAAATACTTCAGCAGACCCAAAATTCACACCATAAAGTAGCATATGTGTGTGTAGCTCGTCAAAAAGGGAAAGATCGGTCTCGAACCCATCTTCCGTCGACAGCTGCTTTTGTGCGGGCCTCACGATCTCGCATTGCTCCAGTAATCTAAATTCCGATAAAGGCAATCCACGGATTCCATACTTCAATTCCGGTCCACAACTAAAGATGCTCTCCTGAAGACTGTCGGTACGACGGTGACCCTAGAAGACAATTCAGGAAACAGAGAATGCCCTACTCTCTTCAGCCTCGACATATTTCTGCCGTTTGGCAATTTTTCATCAAGAGATGTCGATTGAGAATCCAGACTGACGTCAAGGCCAGCTCGGAAAATCACAGCCTCGTTTCTTTCGCTTTCCTGGGCTTCTTGGAATCTAAATAAAGAGGTCAAAACTGTGGAGGCTATCTTACCGTTTCACAATTTCCAGCTCGCTCTCCTCGATGTCCACAACACAATCCATTAGATATTGGACACAATCGACGACATCTGGATCGACACCCTCACCAGGGTGGGCAATGTTTAGAGACAATGTATCCATCGAGATCGAATCCTAAACAAATAATGTACAATCACAGTCGGAAAATTACAGTATCATCATCAAAATTCGGGATATCTGGGTCCTGGGTGGGTCTGCGTGTCCTATTGAGGATATCGGCTGAGCGGTCAAGCGACGTGTCACATTCTTGCGTAGAAGCAAGGAGTCGAGCCCGAAGCTCTGGTAGCCAAACAGTTGATGTTCCGGCAGCCCTGCAAACGGGTAAAAATGGGATAAAATGTTATGAAAAATGCTAAATAGCTTCAATTATTACCTTTTTTCAGCGTCAAAGACGACGTGGTGCATCTTGTGACGCTCGTCGGCGGTGAATAACGAAATGGCCTAACAATGAAGAATCTTGAGGCAAAGTGGGATCTTGCCTGTGTTCCTGGTGGGAGTGTGGGTACTTCACTTTGCGTTACACGTTCCTGGACGGAGACGTATTGGATGGAAACGCGAGCCGTAACGGGATTCATTAGCATTGTGGAAAGCATCTAAGAATAAAAGTGTTCGTAAAAACGAAAATTTACTACCTGCACAATCCGGGGGAGATCGTTGTGTTTGGCACAATTGACGAACCAGTGAATCGCGGTGGCTTTCAACTCGGTCTTCTCACTGCCGACAGATTCATCGGAAAGCACTCCGAGGAGAAGCATGACAACCCTGAAGCGGTCTGTAAGACAAAAAAATACACACGAACCTAGAAAAGAGCTTTTGCGGCAATCCAGGCAACAATTCATCGGTACCCCTTGTGAGCGTCCACAATCGGTCAAACGTCCGGGCGGCATGGGCACAGGCCACCTGAGAAAAATTGCTACTAGAAAGGAGCCCGAACCTGATCGGGTTGTGTGAGCTCGGCAAGCAGTATAGATTCCGCCTCGCTGCTCGGCTCGGCCGGGCGCCTCCCATGAATGACGGAGAGCAGACGAGAGGCATATTCGTGAGCATCAACGTGGTCCATCGAAGAGACAGTCTTCCAGAGAGCACGACTGCTTTCCTAAATAAACAGCTTGGCCTGAAGCCTTTCATTCATGCCTCAAAGATGCGATCGTTTTCAAGGCTGCGCAATTCCCGCTCCAACAGCAACGGCTTCAGCAGGACGGTGGTGGTGTCGTGGCGGTCGGGGGCCAGACTAAACAATAAAATAATATTTTTTTTTCAGCTTGGAAACTTACTTTTCCTTGTTGTCTTGAAAGGCCTTGTGTTGTTCCAAAACCTGCGAACTGCGAACAAAAACGTAGCAGAGCAATTCAAGGCATGCAGCCCGAGCCCCGAAATCGCAAGCTGCTCCGAGTTTGGCCCAAGAAGAGACATCAAGAACCTGAATCAGAAGTTGGAAGATCTAGCGGTAAAAACCTTGATCAAAGCCTCTGTCCAACGTGTGGCTATTGGTGTGTCGAGATCTAGGCAGTACAATGGGAAGTCGACGAAGCAATTGACGAGTCGGCAGATAGCCTAATAAAGAGTCATAAATAACACAAAATATGGTCGTACGGTCAATAACGGCAGCCTCTCCGCGCCGCGATTCCGGACATAATGATGTGCGAGCACTTCGAATAATGCAAGGCAGTCCAGCAGACATTTTTCCACGAGGTTTTGTTCTAAAAATTAACCAGGTACCGGAAAAAAAGAGGAAGCCGCCGATTTTTCTACCCCATTGAGAAGTGAAAGGATAGATAAAAACAAAAAAGTGGAAAAATAAAGGACCTCGATCACGCTGCGGATCACCAAGAATTTTCTTAACCGGGCTTCTGATGGTAGGGGTGGAGGAAGGCTCATCGCCATCGGCAACTGAATGAAGGGAGACTAGACGGGCACCAGACAAGTAGGGGTAAAGGCACACTTGAAGCCGCTGAGATTATGCACTTACCTGAGACGAGTCCAGCGCCTTGGGTCATTTCTTCCAACAACTTTTGACAGACGGCAATCTAAAGTTCATAAAAATTATTGAAATTCATTCATTTTTCAAAACGTTCCTTTTTTAATTTTTAATCATCGAAACCCGCCAAAGCACGAAAATTCTGTTTTTATTACAATAGAGGTTCGCAAGAATCAGGAAGTTCTTTCCCTTGCTATAGAAACGCCTTGCGAAGTTGACGTCACGCACCAATTCTAGATATATCGGCATGGGGATCTGATCAACATCAGCCTTCTTCAGGTCCGAGAGCACCGATCTCAAGAAGATTGGCATGTGCACCAGCCGTGTTGATGACGTGCCGTCCAAATGGGACAGCGCCAAGACCACTCGAGCCACCTAAAAGGCAGTATAAATGTGACAGGCCGGGCGGAATTACCGCTGGGAAGTGCGTTAGTTGAAACAGTCGCTCCTCATTTGCGTCCTTTTTGCTCAAAAGTCTAAAATCAAGGTGAGAACTGAATTCGCGCACCCACCCTGTAAACCAGGTGGCCAGCATGCTCCAGATGAAACCATCGTCAAGAGACGTCAGCAACAGGTTGAACGATTTTGAAATATCTTCCAGGCGTTTCTTCTAAAATCAAAAATTAGTTAAAAAATAAGGGGCGTACGTAACGCTGGCGTTCATCCAGAGGCTCTTTATCCGAACCATAGAACGATCGAATTTCTTCGTTATATTCCTAAAAATACCATATTTTGAACGGCCAAAAAAAAATTACCAGCCCTCGATTCTTCGGATCCTTTTCCACCAATTTGATCAGAAATATTGGCAGTGTTCTGAAAAAATATGAAAATCTCCAATCTGCAAAATTTACTCTGAAAGGACGGGCTTTCCGATTTCAGGCCGATCCTGGAGGTAAAGCAGCAATCTGCATACTCGCACTTCCACTAGCACGGTCTGTTCGCTTTCCTAAATCAGTAGTAAACCATAGATTTTTGAAAAACGAACCCTAGGCGGCAGTCCGAACTGAACAAGGTTTGGCGGAGGGGCGGGGATTTCCACAGTGTCTAGTGATAGATACTCGTTCAAGGCTTGCTGAAATAAAAGCTATTTACGAAAGAGAATAGTCACCTGAATCAAAGGCAGGACCGTTTTCAAGAAAAATGAGCTATCGATGCGATCATCACCGACAGGTACGCCACTGACAGCCAGGTTTGAGCCTAAATCAAAACTTGCTGTATTTCCTGGAGAACAAAACCTGTTGGGTTCAAAAGCCACTGAAAGAGCCTTCGATTTAGCGACATGTCCCTGCGCAAGACGACAAAAAGGCAATGTTGGAGAAGCTGGAGAAACAACTGTTTTAAAAAGGAAACACTCGATACCTTCACAAAATGAGCCGAGGACAGATGGGGCGAATCGAGCGGAAAGACGGTGCACAGAAAATCGAGAAGATTTCGTTGAACAAGCGGTGAGCCTGTGTCGCCGGCTGCCGCACAGAGGGCTTCTACCTAAAAAAACAGTATGTAACGATTATATTTTGCTGACCATCAATTCCGGGTTGCAAAAAAGATGGTGCTGCTCGTCGACCGGCCGATTCTTGTCGAGCTTGGTGTTGACGTAGAGCAATGCAGGCAGACGGACCGCCGGCGAGCCGAGCACGGCCTCCCAAACGCAGCCGTAAAACGCTTCCGCGCCCACGGCCTCGCATACTTTGTCGAGGTAGGTCACCGAACTGAAAAGAGCTTTATTTAATTCGCCCATCAGATTTTACCGGTCGTAGAACTCGGTCCCTTCTTCCAATCCAAGCAATACACCGGCCAGAAAACCGGGAAGTGAAGGCTTCAGATTCGGGCCAAGCCGCAGAAGATACACCTCGAATATCGTGAACAGCTCGGATTTCACCTGTAATTGGATATGTTGATTACCAAACCAAAAACGAGGTCAACCTTAATTCCGCAATGGTCCATCAACGGGAAAAGACCGACGGCGAAAAGATAGAGGAGCTGGGAGAGCTTCTCGGTGCCGAGGATATCGAACACTTGTTTGTACGTCTCCAGCGCTTTCAAATGGACGCCCATCGGCAAGGCGGGGTGTAGACATTGTGAGAGCCGTTTCGCCACAATGATTGGCTTCGGGATGTCGCAGTACTTGGCGTTGGAACTGAATACCTAAAAGAAGACAAAATCATTGCAACTCGCGGACCAACCTTTGAAAGCTTGCCTAACGCCGAAATCAAGTCAGCCCATTCATTCGTGTTTTCAAAGGCCTAAAGACTGGCATTTTTAGTAAAAGCGGTGCCAACAAACCTTGAGCGCCTTGTCGACGGCTTGTGCGAACGCCTTATATTTGCTGGTCTGATGAAGTGGATTCGGCGCTAGCTCGGGCGCTATCGCGCCGTGGGACATGGACGGGTGCAGTGGTTCTGAAATTGGAATACTAAAAAGGAAGCATTTCAGGCTAGAAATTAAGAGAAAACTTGGGGAAGCCCGGCCCAAAACATCATAACAAGTGACTCGCAACCCGTGGAACTTTTTCTACGTTTCTACAGATCGATCATTGGCCGTTGGAGCCGGGGAAACGAGCGTGAGGGAATGGAATCGGCCCTCCCCAGTCGGTCAGTTGGGATCCTCATCGCGGGTGTCTTTTAGGGGGGCGGGGGCGCGCAGCCAGGTGCATTCATTCCCCCAGAGCCTATTTTAGCCCTCAAATGTCGAAGCGGATCGATCTCTAGGAAAAGCCTGGCTTTGTTTTCCAGGAATCGTCGTAGCCTAAACATTTCGCGGAGCACGTCAATTTCACAAAAAATTGGCCGACCGGCGCGTGAGCTGGCCGACCGGTTACGCAGTGTTAAAAATGCGTACAGAGTAGCATCTCGTTGGCTCGATAAAAAAAAGATTTCCTTTTGTTAGTTTTCAGCGTACTTTAGAAGGTTTTTAGTTGTTAGAAATTTTGGTTCTGGATCGGTAGTGGGGCAGGAAATTTTTTTATTTAGTAGTAAAAACAAGTAAATTATTAGTAGTAACTTTTTTTAATACGCGTTTAGTAGTTTCCCATAGCTAACCGATTGTCTAAGGCTATATTGCAAAATTCGCATTTTTAGCTTTTTATGCTGATGTTATTGTACGGTTTCTACATTTAAAGGCAAACTTTCTAAGGGAAGTTTCTTTAACATCAAAATACCAGCGGCAGTTTTGTTATTTACTGCGCGATCTTTTTGGGTCGGGCTTTTCGAGTTTTTCAAGCATTTTCGAGAATCAGTCTGTTTTCGAGATTCTGATTCTCTAGAATCCAGAAATTCTAGTTTCTTTTCCTGGCATTCTGACCGTTTCCAACTTATAGGCTCCCATTTTACCCCCGGGGCGACGACGAACCTGACGGCCTGCGGGGCCTAAAGTGTTTGAGTGCGACGCGAGGGGTGAGCCTGTTGCGGTACTTCATGCGGACGAAGGTCTATGTCTATGTGTTCATGCGCTGCCCCGGGGATGGGGAAGGGCGGAGGGCGATTCATGTCCAACTTGTGTGTCATCTCCCCCCACACCGGCGGGCCCGGCCGACACGAAAAATTGGAAATTCGCTGGGAATCGATGTCGGTCCCATAACATTGCGGGGAAACGAGAGTGGGGGGGGTCAAGTTGAAAACATGGATTTGACTTTGGGACCAGGTTTGGCAGCAGAGAAAATACGGTTGGGGGCGAACTTTTTTGTATAACTCTAGAAATGTCTAGTAACTTAACAGAAATTTTTTAATGGTGTTTTTAGGAAAATAAAACTATTTTTGCACTAGAAAAACCATCTAAGAACTTTAATAAAGTTTTGGAAAGCCGAAAGTTTTGGTCAAAAATTCGATTTCCGGTTTTCAGAAACTGGAACTTGCAGAATTGCCAATTCTCAGAATCCGGAAATTCTGACTCGATTTTCTGAAACCGATATTATGTTTTTTTGAGAGTTTTACGGAATCCCTGTTTTTAGTAATTTCTAGATTTCTCACAACTAGGAGCTGTATGAATTGCCCATCGTAACAAAGCGGCTTTCACCTTTTTTTAAATTTTAAAAAGTTAATAAAAAATTCGAGTTCTCGACCTCACCTATATCTCGATGCCTTTTCCTCCGTATAATAACCATCTCATCAAAAGTAGCTAGACACCTGCGGATGTTCGTCAATAATTGTTTGGTGTACTTGGATGAAATGATAAGCGTGACAAGGTGTGTGTGTGGTGTGTCTGTCTACGGGTGTTTCTCTCTCTCTCTCTCTCTTTCTCTCTCTCTCTGTCTCTCTCGCTCTCGCTTCGCGGCTTATCACGGCACGGCCCGAATATTTATTCAAAAACTAGCTAACGTGCTAAAAGCGGCGCGGGGTGGGCATAACACAAACAGGATGGATGCACGTGGATTGGGCCGAGAATATTTCGAGATTTCAAACAATGTATATAAATTTGGAGATCAAAATGGGTTGTATTGCAAGGTTAAAAAGTCATAGTCATTTTTATAAACTAGAATTTAGGGTTCTTTCCCATTATCGGGGGGGGGGAAGCGGGCTTTTTTTCTGAGGACCAATTGTTCTTTGATAAATTACGGGTGTTTCTAAACTGTTTTTTATTCATCCTCATGTAAAAACTTTGCAAAATTTTATGAAAAATTCAAAACGTTCTAGATTTTTCGACCAAAGTTCATATAAATTTTTATCAGTTTTTTCTTCTTGCAATATAGCTAAATTTTACTAAAACACGAATAAAGCACTTACTAATACGTTACCAGGAATTTCTGGCCTAATGGAAAAAAGCCCCCTCTCCCACGATAATGCAAAAGAACCGAATTTAAATTAGAAAGTGAGGAGCGATTTGGCGATTCGTTCGAGCAAATTTTACGATATTGATTTATGAGAGTTATTGGTTGAAGCCAAGGTTGGGCTGGCTGGCGGCAGATCGGAACGACGAGAGCACCGTCCTATAAATTGCCATTAAAAACAAGGAAAGATACAAAGAAATCACCTGTTATTTGGCTGTTGCGTGGCCCGGATCGGTTGCATCGTCGTCTCGGCTTCTTCGTCATAGCCACCGCTTCTCGTTTCGCGCAGTTTATCGAGCTAAAAGAGTTTCTATATTTTTCGGTTCTTTGGCATCATCGGGGGAGGCTATTTTCTTAGGAGCCAATTTTTTTAATATTAATAGTGGAGGTATTTATAACCTATTATTTCTATTCCCAATCGTAAAAACTACAAATTTTCATTAAAAATACCAAAAATATCGATTTTACAACGAAAATTGCCGGTTTTTGGCCAAAAACTCGATTTTGAATTCTTAGATAGTTTTTCCAGTTGAATTAGAGTTATATTTTACTAAAAACATGACTAAAAAACCACCTTACGCTACTAGGCATTTCTAGACTTATATAAAAAAATTTCGACCCCCCGATAACGCTCAAGAACCCATTTTTAGCGATGCTCTTCTTGCAGCTTAATACTATCCCAACCTGTCTGCTTGAAATCGGTTGCGCTGCGCGGAGCACGATCCATTTGTTCGTTTCCCGGAACGGGTCCATCGTTTCCGAGCCGTCGTACACCCAGAATTCCTTGCATTTCTCTGGAACAGCATTTCGTTGGTTATTTGGGGGATTTTCTTGCCAACCTGCTGGCGGGAATAGTTGATTAAAGTTGTAGTGCGTAATCTGGGTCTCGGTTCCCTTGTATTTCAGGTTTGGCAGTATGTCGATGAAGGGTTGTAGGGCCGCGTTGTCGCCATGTGATTCCTGGAAGCCGGGTTTTGCGTGTTTTTTCAAGAACGAGTTCCTTTTCCTTTTCAGCTATAAACTAACGTTCAAGAAAATTGCGATAGTCAGCACTCCGTTCGGCTGCTTGAATGCTGCGTCCAAGGTTGAGAATCGGGTGTTGCGATGGATGAGATGAAGCTCACCAGCGTAACCGACGCCTAAACGTCCCGTTTCGGATCTTTTGCATTATCGAGGGGGACCTAATTTTTTCCTAGAAGTCCAGAAATGCCTAGAAACTTCAGTTAGTGTTTCAATAGTGCTTTTATTAAAATGTAACTGTAAAATAGTTCTTTAGGATTTCCGGGGAAGTATTTCGGGGAAACCAAATTTTTCCTGGTTTTCCCGGTTAACCTAGTAATCAAATATAAAGTGTTTTCACATTGTTTTTAGTAAATTTTAACTATATTTAAAGTAGAAAAACCTTTCAAAAAAGGTAGAAAAAGTCGAAAATTGGTCATTTTGGGTCTTCCCCCCCGGCCCTAAAGGTTCTATAGGACTTTTCGACTTAAAATAAATTTTTTAATTAAAATGTGGGTAGTTTTTATGCTCAGGAATAGTTAAAAACCATTTAGAAACGTATACGCTATTTAGAAAAAATTTTAGGCTTGGCCCAGAAAACTGTGGCCCCCGGGGGAAATCCTAAAGAACCCTATATTTCAAGTGGAAAAAATGTCTAAAAATCTTACAACATTTTCTAAAATTTAAAATGTTAGCCGAAATATTTTTTTTTGTATTTTTTTGTAATTTGCAAAGGTTTTTGCGTTTGGGAATAGTGAAAAACATTATAGAGACGCCTCCCCTATTTATATTTGAAAAATTGGATCCTACGAAACCCCCTAGGATAATGCCAAAGCTCCGTTTTGTACATTCTACCATGCCGTACCTCCAATGGTGTGTTCGGAGCCATTCATCGGCTCGGTGCCCCAGTGCCAGGTGACAGCTTCCAGGTGAAATTGTTCCTATAGAGGGATTATCTCTTTGTTAGCGATATGAAATAAGGCTAAAAGCTCAGAAATACGGATTTTTTTGGTTTTTCTGAAAGCTACCTCAGGCCAGAAGGAAATTGCCAATTCCGCGTCGCTGCCATCGCGCTGGATCATCAGCTAAACGCGCGGTTACAAAAAAAAATAGGCGTAAAAACCAACCGTCTGGCCGGTGTTCGTTGCCTTAAAGTCGCCCTGGTCGTGGTATTCCACTCTGTAATTATAGAAATAATGAAATAGATCAGAATTTCATCCATATAACGTTTTAAGGAGAATGAAAAACGCACCTAAACTCGGCATTCTGTAGGTGTTCCCCAAATGCTGTTATCACGGGCACGATGTCGATTGGGGACTGATTTCGGCCGAGCGAGCTCACATTTAGCACCTGAAGAAATTACCTGGTATTAACTGAAAAATATACCTTTCCGATACTCTCCAGCTTCACCTTTTTCAGCATCTCATCTTTGGCAGACATTGCCGAATTCAACAGCTTCGGGGCGCCATCCTAAATTCGTGGTTTTTGGATGCAAAAATTATTTTTAGAAAATAGGTTCTTTGGCACTATCGGGGGGGTGGTATCTTTCTTCGACTAATGCCAATTTGTGTGATAGCAAATATGTTAATAGTATTTTTGGAAAAATTCGAATGTATTTAACGCATAAATAAATGGCTAAAATTGTTTTAGAAAATCTAAATTTTTGAAAAAAACAGAACAAAAAGAACTCGCCTTCAATGACTGAAGATGCGCACCGAGTGCTCCTTGCTCGGCAAAATTCTGCGCCTGCTCCTTCAAGTTTTGCAGACGGCCGGTCAACTGGTTGAGAAAGGCCATCTAAATATGTATATTTTTAAGATATTACTTCTTTCTAGCCAACACAAAAATCAATGCCGAATTTTGAGCGAAAAGAACGAAGCTGGGCGATGGGATCTTTTGTTAGCAGGCCAACGGGGGTCGCGGAAATACTGGAATAGCTAATGGTTTGTTGACGTCAAGATGCTGGCAGAGCATGGCTTCCCGATGCCGAGTACCGGAAATATTTAGCAGTGGGGGATAGCAGAACTTTTTTGATCTAAAGGGCTATCAGAGCTCAAGATAGGAATGCCGGGATAATAAAAAATTCACAGAAAACTGGGTTTAGAAAATCTAACTTTTAAAAAGAGTGTTGTAGCGGTAACGGGCAGAAAAAATTTTTTATCTTACCGCGCATTGGTCTAATAATGAAAGATAAAGATGAATTTATTATTCCTAGTTATTTCTGAGTATAGAAATCGAACTATCATTAAAAATTGCCAAATAAAGTTTTACGCCATTTTTACAAGATTGTAATTTTTCTAGAAAACGTTATATAGCTGCTTAGCTATCAACAACTAATAAAAACAACCTGATTCAAGACTTTTCAAAAATTTTTAGACTTTTTAATTCTAGAAAAAACTCTATATATCCATTTAGCTATCAAAAACTAATAAAAAAATGTGTTTTACGCCATTCCACAAAATATAGAACCTAAAAAGAAAAGATATCTCTAAGGCTAAAAAGAGTCTTTTCAAAAAAGGGCTTTGGTTTCGCAAAAAGAGATCAATTCTCGTGGCAACAAAAAGTGCTAAATTCCTTTAAAACTCTGAAAAATGCCACAAAATGGGGAACAACAAAAAGTTGCTGGCTAATTAAAATCTTAATAAACTTGGGACTGTGTTAGATTACAGGTCAGATCTACAGATTAATTTCAAGAAAACGGACAAATACAGAAATATTTATAAGCCGAAAGGCTAATAACGAGTCTGTCCCTTTAATAAGGTGCCGCAACTTGGTGATCCCACATTGTGGCATTTTCAGGAGGGCACTGTTGCCACAGAATGTCTCTTTGCGAAAACAAAGCCCTGAAAGACTCTTAGCTAAAGATAGCCTTGCCTCAATGTTGTTAAGATCATAGAATAAGCATGGGATATATTCAGATGAACCCTGTACACAATACCAAAAAAATTTGCCTGCGGCGCTTGTAACGGTACAAAAACGTTAACGATGCATTCGGGCCAATCGGCAAAAACAATGTTGCGGGCGGGATTCGAACTCGGGAGCCAAGTCTTCCCAGTACAGCGTGCTAACCACTAGGCCAACGGGGAGACTGGAGGCCTGTCCTCGGGGACCTAGACCCGCCCTGCTGACCCGGGGAACGGGGGCCGGGAAAGGGGAGGGCGGCGCCCCGTATGGCGAAGGTTTAAAGTTATAATATCTCAAAGGAAAAGCCTCTTCGATGCAATTTCTTCTTTACTTATTCCGGCATGGTCTAATGCATATTTGAGCAAAATTTCAGCCCGAACGGACATCACTAACACTGTTTTGGCCGCAATTTAGCTTTAAACTAAAAATTAAATATAAATTTAAAGCCGATTTGAAAAAACGCTCTTCCTCACCTTCATTTACATCAAGTCATATGTGGAAAATTTCAGCCCAAACGGACTATGGGAAGGCACTTTGACGACTACAAGGTTGCGGGCATACATACATACAAACAAACGCAGACCCCCTCGAAACGCAATTTAAATCGGCTGTAAAATTCGAAATCTTTCATTTTTTAAAAACTATAGTATGCAAAAAGTGTCGCCGGTTCCGATGGTGTATTCAGTTTCGCAATCCGATGCATGTTTCTTTTTTAAATCCGGAAAAGGACCCCAAAAGAAACGTATGGGGGGGTACCTCAAAAAGGGTTGGGGCTACGCCCGCTACCCAATAAGCCAAATTCCAAGATTTGTCGACCCAGCGGCTCGGGCTACAATTTGTCTCCACTGACGGGGAAAAATCGTGCGAAAAATCCGCGGGGCCGGCGGAGCGAGGAAATTAATTGGCGCTTCGTCGGGCCTCGGGGATTCTGGCGCTCAAATTCCCCCTCCGGGGGCAGCTTCCAGCTCCCTCCTGGCCGCATATTAGAGGAGATTCTCCCTCACCGGGATAAATCCGAAAAACTGAGCCGGCGAAATCCCCGGGGTAACACGACGGGTCGCGCGGGGTGTGCAATTAGGCAGATGAAAAGTTTGCCGCCCGCGGGATCCATGGTCACCGCCGAGGAGAAGCTGGAATCGAACGGGTTAACCCAGGCTGAAAAGGTGGCGTTGTTAGGTAACCATGTCTAACTGTGACAGAATTTCGCGCTGATTCCGGATCTGGCCTCAGAACAGGTCGGATCGGTATTTTTTGAAAAAATTTGCAATTTATTAGTTTTTGTCTTAATTGGTCATAGTCTTTTTGACTTTAAAATGTTGAAATGAACCGGGTTCCAAAATCCAAAAAACAGTCGTTTTTTTCGTAGGCCTAGTGAGAATTAGCAAAGAGATGCTTTACACTATGGGCTTGCTTCTAAGCTTTAAAAAATGTAGCCATGCGAGGTCCACCCCTTTAAAATGACGAAGAAGACGGCCATGGAATCCATAAAATAGGGGGTTTGAAATAAAACCATCTCCGGTCCAATTCGGCAGGGAATGAAACGAATGGGCAGCGGAAGCTAATGCATAGTGTTTCTCAAAGGGGTGGGAGAAGAAGGTGGAGGGGGCCCTAACGAGCAACGCCGGCTCGAGATGCACCCCTCCTCTTCCTTTCGAAAAGCCAACATGGCGTACGGCATAATTAGCTCAATTCTGCCTAGATTCGTGAGACGTTAACGCTAGCTCGAAGGGCCAGTGTGAAGTGTGGCACATCAAAAAGGGCCCACCACAGCCGCAATCCGGGCATGGAGCCAGAATATCAATACTTCTGGCCCTTGGGGGGGCCCATTGATGGGAAAACACTTATGCGTATGCGGGTTGTGTGTACGCGCAAGCCAGAGGCGCCCTTTGGGGGAAAGATGGATGAATTGGGCAAGTTGGTGGAAGGAAACGGGGGGCCAAGGGGCCTTGGCCCGCAAAAGGCCCACTGGGGTGGTGCGCGGCCTGGGGGGCAACTGGGCCCCCAGTTTTTGGCCCGTCAGCAGAAGGCTTGGATCTCGGCGAAAAAGGGGCGGACCCGATTACCGGCTCGTCGGAGCATGATTTCCCCCCAAAGGGGCACACAAAGGCTTTTCTTGCTCAAATGCAAAAGTGTCAGATGAAAAGGGAGCGTGTTCCACCCTTACGCGCCACCTGAATGCTTGACCAAGGAATTACCTCTTTTTAAACCCGATAAATGAAATGACATCCTGATCAAAATCGGTGAAGCCTCAAATGTCCCATGGGCATCGCGAGCACCACCCACAAGTATGAAGATTCCCCCGCAGCGTTATTGGGCTTCACCGCCGCATGGAGTCTCATATTTCAGCCCGTGTGCGAAATGGGAGAAAAGGCCTCGCCGCCCCTGAAAGATTTAGCAAAATCCAATTCTGCGCCTCAATGCTTGTCCGTGTCGAAAGCTTCCGCCCCAAAAACTTCAGTCTGCCTGCTGCTATCCCCGTTGTGACCGCTCAAAGGCAAAGGGGCTTTATCAGGGAGGGTCTCATGGGTTTCATCACCACAAAGGGAAAATTACATTTAGCAAAAACACGTAACACCGGTATAAAATTTAATTGGAGTTTTTAATCACTGTTGTTTCGGAGCTCCTGTGCGGGCGGCTTCTTTGCGGGCTGCTTCCTCGGCCTCGGTGGCTTGACGCTCAGCTTCCACAACCTAACGAAATGAAAATCTTAGGAATTAGGTTAGGCAAATACCTTTAGGAGGGCATCCACTTCCTCGGTAGTCAAAACCCGCTGGTGGCATTCGCCAGGCTAAAAATAAATATTAATGGTGGGAATGCTAACCTTTCCCGTGGCAGATGTCATCACAGCGATCTCGATGTTGCTAGCCCCAGATGGAACAACCTATATTTTGATAAATAAATCCGACTACATGAAGCATACCTGTGAGAGCGCCTTTACTACCAGCTTGAGAGTAGCCGCCTCGTCTTGCACATTTTCGTCATTGTACTTCTCTTCCAGGAACTCGCGAACAGCTTTTTCGCCACGGCCGGTCGAATTTGCCTAGAAAATGGCTCATAGAAAGTGTCAGAACCTTACGAAGTATTCATAGTATGCACCGCTTGGCTCGGTCTTGTAGAGACGCGGGCGGCCATCGTAGTCGAAACCGGCGACCAGCATTGCGATTCCGAATGGACGGCGTCCAGGGGATTGTGTGAAGCGCTAAAGAGCAATCAAAAAACACAATAAGACTGACCTGCTTAGTGTCAGCGACGTATCGGGAAATATAGTGCACAGTCACAGGATCCTCAAGGCGCAGCTTGTATGATTGGCACTCCATGCGAGCACGGTCGACAAGCACACGTGCATCCGCCGACAGGCCTAGGGAAAGAGTAATAAATTCATCACAGTAATTACCAGCAAAGGCAAGCATGATGTGATCGTCAATCATATGAATCTTGCGCACAGTTCGGTCATCCTGAAGAAGGAAAGAAGAGTGCAATATAACGTAGCGATACCTGTAGCGTGGGAATCGTCTTCTTCTCCACGCCGATGACGACACAGTTCTTCCCGCGCACTCCAACCTAAAAAAGTGAATGAACGAGGGGAGCAAATCTACCGCAGTGGACCCCTTCTTGACCGCCTCGTTTGCGTATTCGACTTGGAAGAGATGGCCGTCCGGCGAGAAGATCGTGATAGCACGGTCGTAACGCTCCATCTAAAATGGGTTATGTGATGACAATCAGAGAACGAAGCGGATAGAACTGAGAGAGAACATCAAGATTATGGGTAGCAGAAAGCTTCTTTGCTAACTTTTCGCATCAGATGACAAAAGAAAAAGTGAAGTGAATTTTAAAGGAATACTGTATGAGTAGAAAGACAGAAAATCGAAATTGAAAGCGAAAAAGAGAAATCGAGAACCCCTGGCGGGGGAAGCGCGGTGCGCACTGGGACCAGGGGAAGGTGTACTGCGTCATAGCGACGGCATACCAAAAGCACAGGCAGGTACTATCGGCCGCGGCGTAATTTATTAAGAAACACTACTTAATAAACGTCTTATAACATTATTTAAGCGTTTTAATATACTATAATATCTTCTACATATTTATAGGACTTAGTTATATAGTTTTTATATAAATTATTTGCAATATATACAAAAAGAGTGCTTATGGCACCCGGGCCGATAGTACCTGCCTTGTTTTGATCAGTGTCATAGCGCCATGGCAAAATACTGTTTGGGCTCTTCGAAGTCAATGCAAAAATGACCAAAGAATCGAGATCTATACAACAGTTTTATTAGCTTCTCAGAACTATACATATAGGCTGAGATTCGACCGTGCTCTTTCATATTCCATCCAAAAAGGCGTAAAATCGCAGAAAATTTAGCTAGGAAACCGGGAACCAAGCAGAAGACCGTATTTCTTTCGAAAAATGCATCTTCGCCCGTTAACTGATGTTTTAGAGTTATACAATTTTATAATCTCGTATAAATAATTTATTATCGAGTATTTATAAAACTTGCGAGTGGGATCTTAGCGTATTATGCAGATCTTTGCGGTTTACAGTGAAATGAATTTGCAAATTTGGAATTTGGAAGGACCTCGGTTAGCAAAGCGCCCGCGGGCGCGCCCGAAAACCCAAAGCGCCCGCGAGCGCGCCCGAACTGGTCCATTTTGCGCCCCGGGCGCAATTTTTGCAAAAGGGCGCAAAACCGCCCCGGGCGCAAAATGCGCCCATGGGCGCAATAGGGGCGCGCCCGCGGGCGCATTTGAATGGTGAACACCTTTCAAGTCTGCGAAAAAACGCCTAAGTTCCTGGATTATGCACTTATTTGTCTTCAAAATATATAAATTAGCACAAACGTTACTAGGTTCGCTTGGTTATGGTCGGCGAATGTAGAATCCGATACTTTGAAGCGCCATGGCGCAGGTAAGGAAGGTAAAGTTTTGCTACGCAACCAATGCCTTCGAAACTTTAAAAATACTTTAGATTCAGATTTATAGATTCTCGATTTATATGAGCCACCCTTTCAGACGAGGATGGTCATCATTGCAAATGCGAAGCGCGATGTTTCCGGTATCTTAGGGTGGAGTTTCAAAGTAAGTCGGCAAGTGGGAACAAAGTAAGTACATCTTACGAAGTTTATAAAGGAAATTAGATAATTAGCTACACTTTCAGGGCCGTATATCGCGCATTCGAACGTATCTGTAAGTTCCAAACGAAGCTAAAGCCAAGAAAGCAAAAAAACATATTTCAGGTGCGCAGTACGACCATTTTCTCAGGGAACGCGAAGATCTACATTAAGTATAGGGTACAGCATCGTCAAAAGCGATGTAGTGCCCTTTTTTTAAATAATAAAAGCATTAAAAGAACCCGTCCTACGCCGTTACAACGCGATTGGGGCGCGCCCGCGGGCGCTTTCGACTTTCGGGCGCGCCCGCGGGCGCTTTTGGCCATTGCGCCCGAGGGCGCGCCCGTGAGCGCGCCCGCGGGCGCAATTTCGGGCGCGCCCGCGGGCGCTTTACTAACCGAGACCCGTGAAAATTGTCATCAACTTAGCGGGCGAGCGGTTGGTGGGGATGCACAAATGTAAGCGTGCGGTGGCTCCCTCCGTAGCTACCCACACTTCGAATTCTCAAAGCTACGAAAATCTTTTATTCTTCTTATATAAAACCTGTTTCTTTAGCTACTCTCAAGATAAAAAGAATAAAAATGGTTTAGAAGAGATGCCGTACGCCAACACGCCTTCAGTGCAAATACAGAGCCTGAGCGATGAGGTATATTGATCATTTCCTGTGTTTACTCCTGGTTTTAGGTTGTCGCATTTATTCTCGAGGACACTGATCTTTCGGTGGCGAATTCGTTGAGGAGGATCTTCATCGCAGAGGCAAGGCCGTTTTGATGAAGCTGTTTCATTTTTAGGTCCCTACGATGGCGATCGACTGGGTGCAAATCGAATCAAACACCTCGGTGCTGCACGATGAATTCTTGGCTCATCGAATGGGCCTGATCCCATTGACCTCAGAGAAGGCTATTGACAAGCTGATTTATACCAGGGTTTTCAGAAGCGTTTAAATTTATGCTTCGGCTTTTAGGACTGCGAATGTGACAACTTTTGCCAGCGCTGTTCCGTTGAGTTCAACCTGGAGGTGCGTTGTCGTGAAGACGCGACGCGGGCAGTGACAACCGCTGATTTGGAATCTCAAAACACCGAGGTTGGGTTTCTCGCTTAAAATTATCTTATTAAATTAGGTTGTGCCAGCGTGTGGCATTTATGCGAATGGCAGAAGCGGCGCCGACGATCAAACAAATGACGATATCATGATTGTGAAATTGCGGAAAGGGCAGGAGGTGAAGATGAAATGCTACGCGAAAAAGGTGAGGGCTTTCAAAATTTGTAAGTTGAGTTTTTAGGGGTTTGGAAAAGAACACGCGAAATGGAACCCGACAGCCACCGTGTCCTTTGAGTACGATCCGGATAATGCGCTTCGGCATACAGTTCGTTTTTCCATTAGGTAATTTTATCAACTTTTAGGTGTTTGCTAAAGCAAGTGACTGGCCTGCTAGCCCGAATTCCGAGATGCAAAATGGTGAACAGGCTCCTTTTGATCCGAATGGCCGCCCAAATAAGGTATCGCGTCTCCTTAGCGTATAAAAGTTTTCTTTAGTTCTTCATTGCCGTCGAAGCCGCTGGTCAGATGCCGGCATCGCAAATCGTCATCCAAGGAGTAAGCCATTTTAGAATTGTCTAAATCTCTTTTTTTTTCAGGCGCAAGTCCTCGTTCGAAAGCTCGAAGATCTGCGACAAGCGCTTGCCAAGGAAATGAGTAACACCCAAATGCATTAGTTGTTCAATGCTGTGCGTTTTCCTTTTTGCTGGATTTTTGAATGTTGCCGTTGATTTGATAAATTATTGATCTCTGAACGTATACTAAAGAGTACGGTTATTGACAACCAATTCTTTTCTCCTTTGTATCTGGACCACACTTTTTAATCGGGCTTCCAGATGGATGATGGGAAAGGAAAGCTGTTTGGCAACCTGTCGAACAACCTCGCCGCAATGCGGGTATTCAATCATTTGTAAACGTTACACGCTTTTTTTAGCGAGAAGGAAACCAGACACACTTGGAAAGTGGAGAACGCATGGAACTCGATTCTTCATCAACGAGTGGGTTTTGATGTTCGACAATCAGGCGCTTTAGATAATGCCGAGAAACAAGTGCTGGCCGAGTTTGAGCGTAGGAAGCGAGCCCGTCAGCTAACGTTGCCAACTGACGATTGGCAGGTATGATAATCGACCTGGTTCGGTTTAAAAGTTTTTTTTCCAGCTGAAAATGAAGCTGCGTATGTTAAACCAGCCGATCTGTCTCTTCGGTGAAGACATCCAAGATAGAAGAGAGCGTCTCCGTGCCCTGCTTTCGACTTTGGATGAAGATCAGATCGCCCGAGTGCTACATACCGAAGAGGTTATAATGATCATGATATAAATCAACTTCTTTAGGCCTCTTATGCTGACAAACGGGATCGCGAAGCCCACACGTTTTACCATCGTGGCGCGGAGACGCTGCGTGATGCCCGTATTTCCATCGCAGACTATTCCCTGCGTGAGGCAAAAGCCAGGATTGTGCGCCTACGACAAGAGGCTGCCCGCCCAGAGCAGGAGAAAGGTTTTTACTTGATTATGTTCTATTTTTTTCCTTTTTTTTGAGGTTTTGATTCTATTTTTTTTCTTTAGCTCTCGCAAAACAGGAAGCTCACAAATGGGTCCAACAGATTAACCTCCATGCCTCACAGGTTTGAATAGTCTCAAGATTCTATTTCGGTTTTAGGTAGCAGATCTGCGGCCCGTCGCTTTCGTCGAATTTTCCGCCGATTCTGACCATATTGGTAGATTGGTTTTGTTGAAAATGAGTTCTTTTTATTTAGTGACTGCCGGCTGGTCTGGGGTTCCTGCTGTCTGGAAGCGCGAGAACTGCGAGCAAATGATCAAATACACGGGGCATCATGGTCAATGTGGCTGTGCACGGTATGATAAAATTTTTGAGAGATATTCTTGGTTTTTAGATTCCACCCGAAAGCCTTTGTCTCACAGGACGAGTACGCTTTGAATGTTGCCTCTTGCGGTCATGATGGTAAGAACTATTTTTCACGAATCACGATTTTCTTTAGGTACTGTCGCATTATGGTCACTGTCTTCGGAGAGTCCAATTGGGCAACTAGATAAGCATCCACAACGTGTCGCCAGGCTTGCTTTTCATCCGACGGGTCGCTGGATCGCTACAGCTTGGTATTTATATCATCCAACGCATTATGACAAATTTGTTTTAGTTTTGATTCCACGTGGCGACTGTTCGACGCTGATGTGGGCGAGGAACTTCTGATTCAAGAGGGCCACTCGAAAGTATGGGTCTTCGATTCACTGATACCGTATTTTAGCATGTTTCTGATGTGGTCTTTCACCCTGATGGTGGTCTACTTCTCTCCGTGGGACACGATTGTTATGGACGCGTTTGGGATTTGAGAACTGGGAGGTAGTTTTTTTACATATATATTTCCCCAATATTTTGCTATAAAACCGTGATTACGTTTTTTTTCCAGATGCATCATGTTCCTCGATGGCCACACCAAAGAAGTACATACAGCTGAATGGATGCCGAACGGCTACGAAATGGTGACGGCCGGAGCAGATAACACCATAAAGGTGCAATTTCGACAATGATTATTCTACGAGTTTTAGGCGTGGGATTTACGTATGCGACGATGCACCTACACGATGCCTGCCCATACATCAGTTATCTCCCGAATCCGTGTCGATGCTGATGGCCAGTATCTGATTTCCGGAGGATTCGACAATTTGTTGAAGGTTATTTTTGCGTTTCTACAAATACGTCCAATTTTTAGTGTTGGGCAACGCGTGGCTGGCAGCCGTTGCGAGAATTGAAGGGCCACGATACAAAGGTATACACATTTTGCAGTAGAAATCACGCAAAAAATTTCAGGTGATGTGTGTGGATATCTCGCCAAACGGGAAATGGATCGCATCCGCCTCATTCGACCGTACCTTCAAGCTGTGGAGCCAATCCGACTATTGAGACTGCCCGATGACCCTTTTGCCACTCAAGCTGGTATTGTTTTGTTAGATTTTGTGATGTCTTTGTCTACATTTGAAGATCTCGATAAATTATCTTATTTAATTGTGCCACACGCACAGAAGACTTCTAACCAAGTTTAGCGATATGAACATGCGACGCAAAGCCCATTCTGGGCAAGCCTGAATATTAGTGCGGCAGAATTTGCTAAGCAAACTTTGTATAATAATAAACATTAAGTTACTAAGGATTAATATACCGTATTTAGTAATCTACGGTATCACAGCATACTTTCCAGGCCAGCTTATTTATTTTAGGGTAACAATACTTCTAGTTATACGCATTATTACAAGCGTGAGGACCGTACGACATTTCTCAATTGCTCCCCTTTCTGCAACGGCAGTTTTTTGGACGCCCTTGCGGCGCGGCGGTCGCGTTGCGGCGAAAAGCGCCGCACGCGACCAAATTTGAGCCGGGGGCATAAGGGCCAGGAGTTGCAGGTTTAGCATCAGATGGAGGTCGCGAATCAGATGATCCCGGACCACCAGGTGAGCCGAGAGCATTTTAGAGGCTGAGGATTTGTATTGGTTTGGAAATACGATAGATTTTCAGGTTCAAATTCATAATATGGATGCTGGGAGGTCGACTACCGTTCTGCCGCCACGCCCTTCTCAGGGTATGCGGTTTTAAGGGGTTTTAAGACATCGAAAAATGGTTTGAGCGGGAGTAGAACCCGTAAATTTCAGTGTCGGAGATCGGCCCATCGACAGTGGCTGCTGTGCCGTTGGGGAGGGCAAAGATGGGAAGTGGGGACTGGCAGAGGGGACCCGCCCACTCCACCGTCATTTCCGACGAAGTTAGGTGGGCTCTCTTCTCGCACTGTCCATCCATTTGTCATTTCCACCCCGGACATGTCATAATTTATACAGATTTATGGAGATACATAGGCTGTCCAAAAAAAACCCGCCGTCGGCATTTGGCGGCCTTTATCCGATCGGGCCCAAATTTTTACCAGCAGTAAGAGACCATAAAAGCTATGTGCAGTCGAATTTTCTAGACAACAAATTGTAAAACAAAAAAGTTATGGCTTCGAAAAACCCGGGTTTTTGCTCCGCGTTTTCGCCCGTTTTCCCAATTATGCTGCCGATTTGGCGTAATTTGGCGAAACGTGGCCATCTTCGGACCAGTTTTCGACGATTTTTATGATAAATAGTGGCTAAAAGTCCCAATTTCAACGAAATTCTGTAAATAACAAAACCCCAGATAGCGAAGAGCGCACTCATCATTTTGTGCTAAACATTTCTTGGCCGAGATCCGTGGAAAGCTCACAAAATCCCGACAAAATCGGTCAAATAAACCATAATTTCGCTATAACTTTTTTTGTTGTGTAAATAGTTTTTATGGATCTCCATCAATAGTAGAAATTTAGGCTCAAGCGGAGGTAAGGCGGGGAAATGCGGGGGGGTTTTTGGTACAGCCTATGTATGTATACAACTATTACAGGGCTGCGCTAATTGATGGCGTCTACATCCGGCCGGGAATTTGGGATAGTCAACGTGAAAAGAATGGCCCGGGGAGGAAGCAGCTCTTCCAGGAGATCACCCATCAACTCAATGAGCAACATCATCAGGGGCTTTCGTGTAGGTTTTACTTTTTAAAGCATAAGAAATCATAAAGTATAGCTTTTATGCTTTTTTTTAAAAAAAACAGGCGTAGAATAAATCATATAAAGTCATAAGAGGCGGCATATATAAATCTGGGTGTGAGATAGAAGGCAGAAGCAGTCATGGAAATCATAATAAACCAAATCTATAAATTTAGGTGAGGAAGTGGAAAAACAATGGAAAAATCTAAAGGATACGTATAACAAAACGAAAAAGAAGGTTAGTTAATCACCTTTGTGGTCTTAGTCAAGCTTTTTTTGTAGTAAATAGCTTTATAATAAAAAATAAATAAACCAATTTTTAGATGGGTTTCGACAGCGATGGCCGGCCGATCACCCCAAAATGGAAATTCTTCGTAAACATGATGTTTCTCGACCAGGCCAATATGCCAATAGAGGTAGGGATAAACTATAGACCTAAACCTACGCCCTAAACCCTAAGCCTAACCCAATCAAGAACAAGCTTTCAGCAAGGTGGACCCGGAAATTTGACGTATATTCGAGCAAGGAGTGAAGAGACGCTCGGCCGCAAGCGATTACGGGATGATGACGTTGAGTTGACAGAAGATGATCAGTACTATGACTTTTGCCGCTCGCTCGTACATAATTTGAGGAAGATTGGCGAGATGGATCGGATCAAGTATTTGTCGTTGACAAAGGTTGGAGTTTTGGCTGTATTTAAGGATAGAACACCCCCCCCCCCCCCCATACCCTCCCCCATGACACCCAACACATCGCAATAAGAAACAGCCTGTTCATAACCAGCACATTAGGGCAAGTATGCGTATTAAGCAACACGAGCCGGGGAGACAGTGGTCTCAACCCATCACCTGCACTGCCCACCACTGCGCGGACTAACACCAGAGGGCGCGACTTCAAGGATCTCCTCCTCACGCATACCTCCACACACTCACCTCTGTAATGGTAAACACAGCTTGTCGCGAATCTGCCCCCCACAAACTTCACATATACCCCCTCTTCCCCACTCCTATCTTCCCATCTACCACCACCCACCTTCCTCCCCCACCTCTCCGGACGCCATGGGCGCTTGTTCATTCCTGATCGTGTATGAACCACCAGTTTGCATTTCTGCTGACAGTTTTTTACAACATAGGCGAGCTTAGCTGACCTGGTACAAAGTTATGAAATAGATACCGACTACAGTTTAATATCTTCTCCTCAATTTTTAAATTTCCGTGGACACCTACCTTGGTTAGGGGTCTTTTTGCTCCTATCCCCGAGGGATCCGCGTAATTTATGCGGGTTTTTTTTCTGGTTTTAGCGGAAAGAAACCTTTTCTTCGGACCCAATTTAGCCATAATAAATTAAAACGAATGGCTTGTAAATCTCTTTCTAAGCGTCAAAAATACAGATTTTCATTAAAAAATACAAAATTACAATTTTTCGGTTAAAAATGGCCGATTATCATTAGTTTTGATTTTCTAAGTTTTGAAAAATATTTTTCCGCTTAAAATGCAGCTAAATTTTACTAAAAAGACGGGTAATAATTGACGACGTATTTAACGTATTTAATGGCATATTTAACGATTTTTTCAGAATATCCGCGACCTGGTTTATGACACGGAAATGGACCTTCTACGCCAATCCGAAGAGCTCCTCCAGCAGCAGCAACACTCCATGCAGCTCCGATGAATCTCCACTTTTGATTCCCCTTTTATGTACATATTTTAAAAATCTTCCTGCCATCTAGCCTTATAGCAAACGGTGCACCCTTTTTTGCACGGTTCTCCCCGCATCAGACTCGTATTCTGTAATTTATCCGGGTAGTTTTTTTCAGTTATTTTCGTTTAATATGCATGAAAACTTGTAATTGACGCCGAACGCCCAAAAATACATTTTCACTCGGGTATTTGGGCCGTCATGCCCAGAAATGTATCTACAAAATTACCTTTTTTGCCTTTTGAGACCTCGAATAAAGTCTTCAAGTCGCTTTCAACTTGCTAAAATGCGCTAAAATCCTTGGTACTGGTCTGTTAATGGGGGGGGGGGGTCAGCTAATGTTGTTTTGTTTTTTCTGTCGATACTGTTTTTAATTTTTTAGTAGTGTTTGAATGCTAGAAAGCTGCAAAAATGTTATTTTTATCTTTTTTCGCCATATTTCATAGATTTTTGGCCTAAAAAGTACCATTTTTTCGATAATTTTTACGGTTTTTATATCGTATATCTGGTTCCGAATTCCCTTAAAACAAAGCAACACCTTTATTCGCGCGTAATTGTGTGAGTGGAGGGTATTCAGAGATCCCGGCGAGAGATAGGGGGAAATAGAGAGGAGGGTGCGAGAGAAAATAGAGAAAAAGTGGGCGGTCCCCGAGGCTCAAGAATTTTGTGATGTCAATTTTGGGAAAAGCGGAGTGATAGGAAGGGCAAAACTACAGCTGACGTTATCTGGTGGGTATTTCTGTGGCATCGTAGTCACATCTATTTCCGTCTGCCCCATAGACCGTTGGCTTGTTGCCACGAAGAGGCGCTGCAAAATTTGGTTCTTTCGCATTATCGGGGGGGGGACTTTTCGATAAGGATCGAGTTTTTCAAATATATTAAGAGTGGCATTGTCCCTAAACTTTTTTTGCTATTCCTAAACGTAAAAAATTTACAAAATTTGATGAAAAAATGTCGAAACTATCGATTTTTTTACCCAAAAATGGCCTTTTTTGACAAAATATCGACTTTTTTAACTCCTTTGAAAGTTTTTAGATACATTTCAAGTGGAAATTTAGTGTCATTTTACGAAAAACACTATTAAAATACTTCCTAAATACCAGCAATTTCTAGACCTCAACAAAAAAATCTCACGACGTTCGCCAGCGTACCGTTACGGAATTTCAAGATTTTCGTTTTTTTTTTGAAATTTTATTTAAAGCTAATTCAAAAATAAGAAAACGGCTATCGCACCTCCAAAATAAGTCTATTTACAGGTTACGGTTCCGTGTTCCTTAAAATGCCCTCTAAATTTACTTCAGCACTGTAGAATCCTAACAAAATCGCTGAATTTCTTGGAGCGCGAGTTTCAGTTTCAAAAATACGTTTCGAATTCCGCTACTTTTCCCTAAGCGCTTTTTTGATTACGTTCGTTTACAAACTACGTAATTTAACCGATTACGGTACTTTTAAACAAGCAAATTTTCCTACCGTTTCAAGCCCATCGGGAAATAGGAGGCCATCGGATAGTTGTCGGCTGATCTAGAATTCATGATTTGGGACAATAGGCTGATGGCCTGCTAGCAGAGATCATTTAGGAAACGCTTTTTTGGCCACATTTTATGCTATTAAATTTATGATTTCCGCCTACCTCTTCCCCCATAGCGTGTTCAACTTGTTCCAATTCTCGACGGGCCGCTTCTCCTCGATGAAAAGATCCTAGAAAATGGATTTTGTATAATTTGATTATTCCATTATTGTTATTGTATTATATTATTATTATATTACGTTATTATACAATATGATTTTGAACTTACACTGCCTTTATCCGATCGTTTTCCCCATAGACCGTGTGCCTTGGCCCATCGACCCGGTCGATCGTCATCTGTAAATCGCTCTAAATCAGGGGGTTAAAACTTTAAAGGGACCGGCAAGGCATTGCTAAGGATTTTACGGTACTGGACCGTTAGCGGGGGGAAGGGTCGGAGGAAAGGCAAGGATAACCCCCCTTTAACCCCCTTTTTCTCCACTCTCTCGCTCTCTCTATCTTTTTCTCGCTCTATCTCTCTCCCTCTTTCTCTCACTCGCTCTCTCTTACTCTCTCGCTCTCTCTGTCTCTCTCTCTCTCTCTCACCTGGATCAGCCTCTGCGAAGACGGCAAGCACGAGCATCGCGACGACGAGCAGGATGAGGCCGGATGGGCTCATTGTGGCGGGTACCCTACAAAAAGTAGGGATCGAATTTTATACTAAATAATATACAATCGAAAACAACATTAAAAATAATTTAATGACGTAATCTTTGCGTCTAAAGGAATAGATCGTAGGGGGTTGAGGGAAGATGTGCGAAGAATGACGCTACGGGGCCGTCGATCCAAAACAGGGGTCGGTTGATATAGGAGAAGCATGGAGAAGCCTTGGCACACTAATGAGCGATATGAGGAGACGGCGACGCTAGAGTCCGCCGAACACCGTCATGGCTACGACACGCTACGTGATGACGCGGGGATGGGGGGCGTGGGTGAGCGTTATGGCTTATTTTTGGAAATTTGTACGTAAATGGAAAGATTTAAAGATATTTAAAGGGACCGGCAAGGTATGGTTATGGATTTTCCACCGCGAAGCGTAGCGCGGCAGCCAAACTCATTCCTTGCCGGTCGGTCCCTTTAAAAAGTGCCTATCAAACGGGATACGGTAGGAAAAAGCCCTTTATTTTTAGAATTTTTTCGATTTCTGGGATAAATGTCAAACTTTAGGTGCGAACCGCTGTAATGTGTCCTTATGCCTTATATATACTGTAGGCAGGTCGTAAAATGAGATTGAATAGGTTCGGGGTTAATGGGCTTTTCTGAAAAATTTGGTCGTGTTGCCTAATTCCGGAAATGAAAATCAGGAGCTAAAGGGTTACCGTAGAAAGGGCACCATATAAATTGCCCTGAAGTTTTAATAGTCTTAAAACTGAAAAAACAAATAAAAATGAAGATAGAAAGGGCTAGGGATAAGGTAGAAAAGGCACGATAAATCATTATGCCATTGCAAAAAGCGAAAATTTCCCGGAATTAAAATTACAGCTGGGGTTACGGTAGAAACGGCATCATACAAAAGTCATCTGGTATTTTGGATCGATCAATCGCTATCTAACTAAATAAGTTAAGCCAGCCGCAAGATAGCAATAAATAGAAAACAAGAGAATATGATGGGAGAAATCGATAAACGCGTCTGATGACCATGGAATTCTCCTCTTTTTGCTTACCCAAATAGATGGGGCCGAATTCGCCCTTAGGCACTCATAACCCGTCATCGGAAAATGAAGAGAAGAAGCCCCTCTCTTCACCACACACAAATTGCAACCAGAAAAATACGATGCATTAAATCCTTAAAAACTTTAAATGGGCGTGGAAGGCAGAATTTATTTTCGATTTATTGCTATTCGCTATTTAGCTATTTAATTTATTTTTAAATTTTAGCTGGGTTTTAAATAAAAATTGAATTTAGCCATTTAAGAATGTTATTTCCAATCTTTATCTAATTTATTAGAGGGATTGCGTTTTTTATAGAATTTATAGGCTTTTTAATTTTTTTCAAACGCGTCAAAATTGATAACAATCGTTAATAAAGCTTGAAAAATTCGAAATTTAGCCAATTTAGCTAACTTTTTTGCAGATTTTTACGTTTTCGATTTTTTAATCTATCAGTTTAATTTTGTAAATGGCTCCGAATTAGCAAAAAATCACAAGATTAATGACCAGTTAACAATAATTTTCCAAACAATCTGTTTTTGGGCAATTGAAGCAAAAGCAAAAGGTAAAATGACCACATAAAATAGATGCTTATCCCAAAACCTGTGATTTTAAATTCCGAAGCACCCCTAAATACCCTGGAGATTCGACGTAACAAGCGGCAAAAGCGGAAATTTGTTTTCTATTTTTTTTGTCAGACTATAGGGTTATGGGACTTCCGCGCTCTAACAATTCCCTCGGGGAATCGACCCCTAATTTCTGCTCTCCATAGTTGTTCATTTTTTTGGAGAAAAGGAACACGTGGGATTTGGCCATAAACATTCGGGGTTTATGAATTGAAATTTGAAAACTTAGAGAAAATAATGATGCGATTAATCACTCAGAGGTTTTCGCAGCTGGAAATAACAAAAATGCAGGTTTGAATTTTATGAAATATTTTATAAGAAAGTTATCAAGAAAAAAAGAAGAAAACCGCATTGTAAAAAATATGGTTTCACCATCGATTACGCCATGTATTAAGCGTCAGGAGTAGGTAGCGAGCTACAAAAATCGTGAAATATAGAAGTAGGAAAAGAGTAAATAAATTAATCATTGTAAAGGATGGAAGAGTTTGCCAAAATGCATTTTTCGAAAGCCGGTTTTTCGATAAATCGGCATTTCGCAATCGATTACGCTAATTAATAGGTGGAAATACATAATACCGACAGCCAAAAACCAGACAGGCGATAGTAGCTGTTTCAAAACTATTGCCAAGAATACGTCGGTATTTTAGCTGTCGGTATTTTTTCTGAAATTCGTAGTGAGGGTTAATAGGCCTTATCACCCTGACAGAGTGGTAGTTAAGTAAAAAAAGCAAAAATACGAAAATGCACTTTCCGAGCGGTTTTTCACATTTAAATGGACAGAGCCAGCAGACTACCCCAAATGCAACTTTCCCATCCGTCTCAACGGTGCCCTCTGTAGTCGTTGTGTGGCAATTAGCGGAATGAGGGGAGGAGGAGCAGCAGCAGCCCTTTAGCAGGGCAAATGGGCCGTGGATTGGAGGGCAAGAATGAGCAAGAAGAAGAAGAAAAGACCCTTCCTTCCAAGTATCACCCCTACCCATCTAAATTACTTTAACGCACTACGTGCACCGACTAATGACGTGCACTTTCTGCATCGTTATTATAGACAAAAAGTATACCAGGCTATACTAAAAGGTAGATGAAAATACCGTGTACCTAAAGATGAAGAGGGCTACCAAAAATGCTCT